GCAGCTTAAGTAACATGTGTGAACATTTTAAAAGAATTAAATCTGCTTACCACTGGACCTGGAGGACCTTTCATTCCATCCTGTCCAGAATTACCCTGGTAGAAAAGCCAATTTTGTGATACTCCAGTAGTTCAAGAAAGTGAACAACATTAAGACAATAATTTGAGTCCAACCTGTAGTCCTGGAGCTCCAGGCAGTCCACCTGGGCCTCTGTCACCAACAGGACCCTAGATAAGAAAAATAAAAGAACCTTAAATAATGTGTGATCAAAAAAGAGCAGCATACACATGAGGTTCAGCTGCTTAACTGAATGTTCAGTTACATTTGAGTTATTCTTTGCACTCAGGTATAGTCAGGTAACCCTTACATATACTAAGCAGTAAATATGATTGTATAGGAATGAGGCATGTATAATTATTTAAAACAAAAAAATACATACTGTACAAGCAGTATATTCATAGTGCAGGTATGGAACATGAAATTGTTTTTTAGGTATTCTTACAGATGGCCCCACAGGTCCCTCTTCTCCTGGTTCTCCTTTAGATCCCTGGAGAACACACAGACAGTGTTCAGAGACTTTGTTTCTATTTACAAATATTCCATCATCAATCACTGTAAAATACATTCTGCACATCAGGCGTATGTTATTAGTACTGACTCACTGTACTAAACTCTTTATATGCATAAAAATTCAGGGACATTTTTACAGGACACGATATAAATGTTTAAAGCCAAAGAACCTTTATCCCCATTCTTCCCCTGTCTCCGCTTGGTCCAGGCTCACCAGGAATACCCTAAAATTTATGACAGAACAAAAAAGTATTTATTCAGAAAGAAACCAATTGTAACATCAACTTTATTCTTATGTAACTAAACGCCTATGATTTTAGGGCAGCCATTTAATTTAATTGCGGTTGTTGAGTTGAAAATAACTTTATATCACCATTAGTGACATCCAGTGGTGAGGCTGAATAATTGTTTAAAGTTGAATTGAGAGCTTCTCCATTTTCATACCAACCTTCACATAAACTACTAAAAAATAAAGATAAATTCTCTCTGCAGTAATGATGCATTTCAGGAAATATCTATACAATAACGAACCAGACTTCTGCAGCTTTAACACTTCTCGTATGATCACTTGACCATTTGATCATTTATTTACATCTTTTGAAACTGCACTCTCACCTCATCTCCTTTCTCCCCTGGAAAACCCCCATCTCCTTTAAAACCCCTGGGACCCTTGTGAACAGAGAAATAAAAATCATATAATTGAAGTAGAAATGATCAAATACCTTTTGGGTTAGTTCCAATAGAATAATGTGCATCATTGCATACTGAAGCTTTAGAGTTAGAGATATCAAGTACAGGAATTTTTTTAACATTTGCACCAAAAATGGTAATTTTCTTTAACTTTTCATAATAGTGGAAATCAGAAATTAACCTTAGGCTGGGCAGTTTTGTGTACCACTAGTTACATCAGCTAAATGTTGGAAGGTTTAAAAGTGCTACTTTTTTCCCTTGTTGAAGAGTTATTTTTTTACACAAAGTTAACTGCAGTAGAAACACAGACCACAATCATTAAATAGAACCATTCAAATGTGCTTAGTAGTAAATGCCTAATATACAATGGGATAGAAAAACAGCACTTTTTTCACCTGGATTCCTGGAAGTCCTGGTGGACCAAAGTGTCCATCTAAACCTCGGACTCCATCTTTGCCCCAGTTCCCTTTCTTGCCAGGAAAACCTTGTGGCCCTGGTACACCCTAATACAAATGATGTTTCAGCACACACTGTTAACTACTTAACTTAAAATAGTGTTAACCAGTATTACAAATTGATTTTAATTTTAAACATTTACCACATCCCCTCTGACACCAGAAACTCCTGTGATTCCTGGGTCTCCTGGTAGGCCCTACATTTCAAATATTTTTAGAATTAAAAAATGACATTGTGACAATGTATGAAAAACATGTGACTTACATTAAAAATTATGTAATTACTAACTGAAGGTCCAGGTGAAACTTACTAAAGGACCAGGTTTTCCCATTTGACCCATGGTTCCAGGTGGTCCACGCTTTACCTAAAAAGGAAATATAACAATAACAATAACAGATAAACCAGTATCTTTGATATCTGACACTAATCATTCATTTGACCAATCTGAAAAGCTGAATTACTCACTGGCCAACCAGCTCTAAGTGTTTGAAACAATGTTGATTTCTGGAAAAAACAAAATAAAAAAATTACATACTCATAGTTGTTGTCTACAAATAACCATACAATTACATACATTTGGTAATAATGAAATGATAAATAAAAGGAAAAAAAACAATAGTCAAGTAGCCACTTTTTTTCAGGTGTTTCATAAACTTTAAGGTATGATGAGTGTCACAATGTGTCTTTGACACTTTGTGTTGTGTAACATATGAGACTGCAAATGGATGCTTTGATACACACTTAAGGGTTTGAATTTAACTCAAGAAGTCAAAGTAGGATCAGGTCTTTAGAGGACTAAATCGCCCAGCTTTGCAGCTCCAGGATAAACACAAAATGGCAGAGGACTCCAGTGGGTCTAAGAGCGGTGAGGAGCTAAACTTGTCCAAGGTCTGGACCTCCTTCACTGGAGGTCTTTGTGGATGGAGCAGTAAAGAATCCTCACTGTGCTCTTAGTAAGCAGTAAAAGTGAAAACCTACAAACACTCCTCTCTTCTAAGGACTTGGTCTGGCAGGAGGATCTAGGCCTCAGACCAGACCGAGACCAGAAGTCTGGATCTGCTCCAGTTACAAAACATGGAAGATACTCCAGCTTTTCATTATGGCCTCTGTAAGTGCAAAAAGCTGTGAGACCAAATGGCTGTGGCCATTTACAAAATGTCAACAGAAGAAAAGATTAGTCAGCTCTTCATAAAATAAAACCTGATTTCNNNTTAGATGTCTCCTTTTTCTAATTTTCTAATTCTCTAATTCTGGTCTAATTCTCAGACCAGGTGACATTTTTAGAATTACCCTCTTGATTATTGATATTATTATTATTATCATTATTATTATTATTAAACATATACATTAAAATACTGCATACATATTGTGACAGTGCAAATAGCTCTCTGTTTAAATTGTTCTGCCATTTGTAAATCTAAAATTCACTGACATTTACAACAGTGTGGTTTAAGAGAATTTGGTTTAGTTGAAGTACAGTTAGTTTAGATTATTTAAAGAGAGGTTTACCCTGAAAGTGATCCAGTCATCTTCTGTGTTACTCCATAAGTAAAGTGTGGGAAGTCCTGGAGGACCTAGATGTCCTGGATCACCTCTTCTACCATCTAAGCCTGGAATACCTTGAGATCCCTAAATAAAAACAAAAAGATATACAATAAAGAAGTGACAATGACAAAGCAGCCACACGTTCCACAGGCTTAGCATCTAAATGGTCTCTCATGTGATATTTTATCCAGCACTTCTTACCTTATCACCTTTTAATCCAAAAAGCCCTTCTCTTCCAGGACATCCCTGAAATAACAACAGTACATTTAACCGTTTTCTCCTTCATAGACAATGGTGCACATAAGTCTCTGATCACACATTTGTTGTTTAGACAAGTTCAAACGTAATGTTTTGGTACCAAATAACCATCCTAAATCTGTCAAATGTGTCTGTCTTTGATCCGATCATTTACATGGGCACAAGCATGGTAGCGTCCTCACTCACTGCTCCTCGGGCACTTAAAGCTGCTCACTGTTCACTTTGGTGATGGGTTAAAAGCAGAGACTCAATTTCATTGTATCCGCGTGTTACAATGAAAATAAGGCTATAATTTATTTATTTATTTAAGGTAAGAAAAATATATTTTGTCACATATGGAATCTAAAAGGGCTGAAACCTTTAAGAAGCAATTGGAGCACAATCAGCAATCTACAGGAGGCAGAAGAAAAAAGACTGGCTGCACTGATGGAAATGACTGTTGCATGAAGTCTAAATATAACAAATCAATAATCTGTCTTACTCATAAAAGATGAGAGAAAAAGTGAATCATTCTGGGTACAACCACTGCAAATAAATATGCCTTAATTGCCACTACTGTCTGTCTACTGACTGTTTGGCAACACCCACACAGCTACAGTGCATATGAAGAAAAGGCCACTGTGGTCTATTCAAGATGTTATTAGTGCAATATGTTTTCAGAGCAATATCTGAAGCCTGTAATTCAAAGGTGGAATAAAAAAAACCAACAGAGAAACCGTCACAGAAAACAGAAACCAACCATAACCACTACTTCCAGTACAAGCAGAACATTTTCCCACTCATTAAAGGATTATATAAGACTCTCACAGAATTGACTGTTTTCTTTTTTTCCTTTTTCTAGAACAAGAGACAAATGTTGAATATGTTCTAAAATTAAAAATATATATATCAAGATATCATGACCCTATTTCCTCCTAATCTAATCTAATCAATACAAACACAACAATTCTGATTTTAACTGTTCTGCAATTCTTCTTCTATTAACAACCATAATCATAAATGTAGATTTGTAAAAAAAATCTAGCATATAACTGGATAAACTGCATTAGGTATTGACATTGGTTTTTAAAAAGAGTTTTAATAGGCTTTAACATTATAGTCACGTAAAGGCCTTAAATTACTTTGGTAGCCACTAGGGGGCAGCTGCCTGACTTTAGCTGAACATGCAGTATCTACAGCTACCTCAGTTTATAATGTTAATTAAAAAGTGCACAGATTTGAATTAAATGAACTGGTTTTAGGCAGGGATTCCCGAGACTCAAATATGCCTACAAGAACCCTGACAAGTCAATTTAGCATAATATGTCCTCTTTGATTGATTTATGACAGACCAAAAGACGCAAGAGACAGTTCTATATAAATAACCAGTGTTCACAGGACAAAGAAAAACAATGTGGATTCAAGTCTTACTTCAGAGCGTCATCACACTGAGCTGCCATTTACCTAGACTTGAGTTAAAAAAAAAGGTTGCTTACTCTTCTCCCCTGTGGTCCTTCTGGGCCTGGAGGACCTCTGTGGATTCTGTAATCCCTCTGGTCTAGTCCATATAGTTTAGTTCCTGTTCCAGTCACAGGGATAGTATGCAGTGACTCCTTGTGCTGCAGAACTTCTTCTTCCATGTTTTTGTACATCAATAGTGTGACACTGTTTGACTTCACCTCAGACATTTGTGAATCAGGAGAGGTCAGGTCAAATACAGGATACATTCTTCTTTCTCCCGTGTTTTTTTCATTGATATTTTCATAAGTTGTCTGGAAGTTTGAAGATTCAGTGTTGCCAAGTCTTTTGTCCTTCCTATTAGTTCCAAACGGAGAATGAGGTTCGTCAACGTGGAAAACATCATGACTTTGATTGAGAATTATTTTGTCTATGGATTCTGGAGGAGGATCCTAGTGGAAAAGGAGAAGAAATGTAAATCAAACATTTTTTGTCTCAGACTGACAGTTCTCCAAAGACCATGTGTGAGAAGATAGTGATGCTCTGAGGATTGGCAGGAAGAAGAGAACCCATACTACAACAGTAGGTCAAATACAGGATCCTCTTTTTTAAACTGCTCACAATGGCCCTTCATCAAGGACAAGCAACAATCATTCCTACAGACCAGTCAAACAGCAGATACTTTATAACTGTGCACCACAGGTTGTTTGTTCATTGAATGTTCTGTATCAACGCTGCTCTTACAGAGTACAACTATTGTCCGGTAAATACCGAAAGAGAATTATTCCAACACCAACACTAGAGCACAGAACAAGACATCAGTAAGCTAAAGAAAGAAGGTCACTCAGAACAGCTGTGTTGTGCTAATGTTGACATAGTACTTTCATCTACTCCATTAGAAGAGACTGAGTTCTTAATATACACAGCATGAGACAAAGTTGAGCTGTGCCGGTTATTATATGATGCAACACAGGCCAAATGCTGAATCAGCAATTTCCTCCAATATTCTTTAAACCACCTCCACCATTAAATGTTTTTTTCCAACACAAACAGCACTCTATGAGGGCTGCTCCAGTGTTTTCCATAGCAACCAGGCATCACTCAGGCATGTTACACAGTGGCTAAAAATATTCTCTTGGTTTTGGTCAGCAGTGCACTGGACACAAATTTTTTTGAATACAGCTACCAGCTATGGCGAAATACACTCCTGCTTTCCGGGTAGAAGATAACAGAGAATGCAAATACACCTTTTTATTACATATTTTCAACAGCTTACAGACATAGCACATGTTAAGATAGCAGTCACTCTGTGCCTAATTGTCCAGGTTGAGGAGCAACACCACCTCAGCCTGCCCTGAAGGGATGAAGCACTTCCTCCGGTGTGTCTGTCAGTGAGCAATAGCTAGTCTCAGATGCTAAATTATGTATTTGGTCTTGTGAAACTAAAAAACCCCAAAACATTTTATTATTATAATTATGAAATGGGTGTAAAGACTGGAGTATAAATAAGTCAAATATTTAAGTTTTAAAAATAGATCAATCCCAAGAAAGTTGTGGAATAATTAAGACTAAATGAGATAAGTTAATATTATTTTTTCTGTAAATTGCTGGGACAAAAAAAAAAAGGTCAAGTGCTTGTGTTTGACACGTGTGTGTGAAAAAGCATGGTACCTGTAGAAGATGCTGAAAGTTGCATTCTAAAACTTTTTTCCTTAACGCTCCTCAAAATTTGGAATGAAAATGTTAACCTGATTAATTTACAAATACTACATTTTTAATCATTTTTCAACTCAACTTTTTTTTTTACAAATCATACCTATCACATTATCTGTGATAGGTTTAATATAAATGTAAAATCATCAATCAAAGCACTGCATCATGCAAGTTTGTTTTAACGTTGCTTTAAAATATAGGGCTTTTCTATTCTATTGGTCACAAAATATACAGCATGCCACTGTATGTGGTTTATAGGATGGATTTCCATCCATCAAAGGATGTGTTAACTCCTCACACCCTCAAACTGCTGGTGAGATTGTTAAGCATCTGTTACGCTAAGTCACTGCTGTAGACCAAACAATGGTACTTATAGTAGACACAACACTGTCATCATTTAATTACAATCACACATTGATCACTTTTTCTAGCACTTAATCTAGCAATTAATTACAGGCTTGTTGTGGTCTACATCTAGTAGCCCATCTGTGGGTCACATCCCAACTGAAATGAACTAAGGCTGACTTTATTGTTGCCCTATTTGGGACCAAAGAAACCTGTGAATGATGCCAGATATGAGCCAATAAAGACTAAAATATGTGTGGCTCTAATTAAATAGATAATAGATAATCATTGGGCCTGATGCTATCTGGCTGATTTGCCTCCACTTACATTTAGTGTTTTCTTCCCTAGCACGAGAAGTTGAGAGTGGAGCGGTCAATTGTTATGCCACTATGAAAGGTTCTTCCTTCGATTATTTGGTACATTCAATACTTTAAAATAGTAGCTTTGAAAGGTTATCAGTTGGGGCGTTTTAGAAAAAAAAGAGAGAGAAAAGTCCCTAAAGTTGGATGTAATTGTATGTTGTAAGGTGATTCAAAAATAATATTTAGAGACAAAACCAACAACAAAATGTCAAACAACTGACAATCACCTGGTGGACTTGTGGATGGTTTGGATAAAAAAAAAAAAAAACTTCTATCTGAACATCTGGGCTGGATGAGCAGACTTGATTCACATGGATCAATTTAAATAGACTTGAATAAATTTAGCACAAAAGAACTGTGACGAAATCACCTCCCTCGTGACGAGAGTAAGAGTATAATTTTACATCTGGAACATTCCAGGTCGAGTGCAGTGATCAGAAGCAATAAAAATAAACAGATATGATGAATGTAAGGGTCACGGACGAGACACGTTTGGATTTAGACACAGCTTAAAAAAAAAAAAAAAAAAAGCTTTCCATTATCACTTGTCATGTCCTCACACTGTTGTACATACCACATGTGTCTGTTGTCCGTCCACAGTTAGTCCCACGTAAAGAGAAGCGTGCAGCCAAGAGCAACCAAGCATGAGAGTTAATATGAGCCACATGTCTACAGCATGTCTTCAGTGAGTGCAGCTGGGCTCCAGTCAAACAGAGTCCACTGGGCATACAGTATATGAAGACCAAAAAGTGTGTGTCCAACCAGGAGCAGCCTTTCCCTTCCTGTAGATGACCCTCCTAGAGCTGACAGGGACACACCCAGGCCTCTGCTACACATGAAGATACACACACACACACACAAACAGACACAGCCCTCAGCAGGTTGTATTTCCCCATAGACAACTCCTTTTAGAACAAACACAACACAATATAGACATAAATAGTCACTAGAGTACTGATAGATACATTGTTCTGAGTGCTGCATGCTTTTTACAGAAAATATACTCTTTTGTAATATTTCGTAATATATTTCGCCAACCCATAGAGAGAACTTAAAAGGTCAAAGGTTTATATCAACCCCAATAAACTGCACCAAAAGAATCGGATGCTTCTGTCTTTATGTTTACTGCAAGATTCTCCAATGAGAAAACTGATTCTAGATACTTCCAAGACCTCTTAAAAACTTTATTTCACTACTAGTAGTTTTACAAAACATGCGTATATTAGAAGACTAAAATAAACATATACTCTTTAAAACCTTCCATTCCTTAAAGTTTATATTCAACAACTTATTTTTTACTTTCTGTAAATCTAATTGTGATATAAAAGACACCAGGAGGACCAGTTACTATTGTCTGACACATGGTAATTGATAAACACTTTTTAAGCGTGCCCTCCACTGCAAAGCATATGAAAAACGTATCTGTTTGAAGGTGAGCTACACATTTGCCAACACATAGGCTGTTCAAAGGAGAACCATGTCTTGTGGGAGAGTCTTTAAATTTTAAGTCAGGTGAGTTTAAAAAACAAAACAAAACAATGTCTGACAATTAAAGGGTATTTTGCCCCTGAGCATCTCCTGACTTGTGGCCATGGTCATTGCTACATTAAAGGATGAAAGGACAGCTGCAAAAACAGACACGGACAAAGACAGACACACACAAAACGCTGCTTTGGCATTTCTTGTTCTTGAGTTGACATGTCCACAACAAAGAACGAGTAACGTAATGGAAAAACACCTTAACAGTATCTATTTGTCAGTTAAAATAAAAATTTAAAATAATATTTTTACAAGCTTTTAAGTAAAAGCTAGGTGCTACGTGCCTCTCCTTTTTATTCTTCTGAAATCTAAAAATAGGTCAAAATGTTTTGTGCCATATGACAGGACAGAGTGTGAAAGGACAAAGTGTGTGATTGACAGCTGGAGAGCTGGTGCTAGCTACAGGCAGCATAAGTAAACATTAGGTTCCAAAAACCAACATGGTCCCATTTGTTTGTTCTAAGGCCAAAAACACCACAATGAATTAAAGTATTTCTTTTATGCCAAGGTTGGCCAAGATAGTTGCAGCCATGGTAAATGCAAAAATAGAGCAGCGTGAGCAAGCCTTTAATCATGTACGTTCTTTCAAATACTTCCTAACCACACGTCCATTGGCAGCATTAACCTTTATGCTCTTCCTAACATAAAAAATGCATCATCTACTGAGTGTGGAGAGAAGTATCGCATGGAGGTGCCTGCAAGCAGGAGCAGACTAGATAGATGAACACTGCAGAGCCAAACCACCACCACCACCACCACCACCACTATCGTCATCATCATCATCATCATCATCATCATCATCATCATCATCATCATCATCATCATCATCATCATCATCATCATCATCATCATCATCATCATCATCATCATCATCATCATCATCATCATCATCATCATCATCATCATCATCATCATCATCATCATCATCATCCTCCCCAAGGAAGGTTTTATCAGAGACACCACATAATTTAGCATTTACACATGCATGAAATACTGCCCACTCCCTGAGGAAAATAAAGACTAATAAATAATCAAGACAAATGAGGCAGAGTTTCTCACATTCACCTTAGCAGGCTATTCATTTACTGTTTGCTATAGTACATTAATCACTGCTTCTTCCTGTTTCTAACAGTGCTAGAACCATTTTGCAGTCACACTATGCAATTATACTAAAGATCAGTCAGTCAGTACCAGCTGGTACTGGTAGCCCTGTGCTGATCTTTGGAGGATCATTGTTAATGGGGGCTAGAGCCCCATGGTCTATGCTCTCAATGTGTCTTTTTTCGTCAATTTAACATTTTCTTATTTTCTTTATATTTTAAGCTAGTACTTCTCAAATAGTGTAGTGGGCCCCTATGGGGGGCGGGGTGAGGTGCCACGGGGGGTTCCAATGGAATATGGCACAGAAAATAATTGAGAACCACTGTTTTAAGCCAACATTTTTCCTCATACTTGCCTAAACCCCAACATATAAGGTTTATAAATATTTACCAAGAAAGCATTGGAGGCTGATAGGTCGCAGGCAGACTGGCGGAGATTACACTGGTCTCTGGCGGCGTCTGGATCCCCCATAACAAAGGTTAATTGCCTAAGAGCACCCTGAGGGACATCAACAGCAAGACAGGGTCATAGGTTAATCTCAGTTAGACTTTAGGCCCAGGAAGCTCTGCCATCTGAACCCATAACCCCCACTTTTCATAGACAGACTTGACACATGGCAATGTCAAAAGGGGTGAGGTGAGGACATCAATCACGACTACTTCTTCACTCTTACTCTGTCATCCCGACAACTTTGACTTCACGTCTCACAAACAAATTAAGACACTTGAATAATTCATTTAAACTCACATGCATGAGGACATTTTTGCAGCCATTGGCAATAATATAATAACATGTCTGCTATGAAAAAGGTCAAAGCAAGGGGGAGATCGGGAGGACAAGGAACACATGACAAACTGCCAGGTGAAGGTAAGGGTAAAGTTAATGAACGGACCTAGAAAATAGAAATGTAAGAGTAAATGACTAAAGACTAATGGCATGCCCGCATGCATGTGGACTAATGGCATGTTTTAAATGTTTTGCTTCCTATTTGGGTACAATTAATTAGGTAGTCAATATCTAGATATTTCTGGTATTATTTAATTGATTCTTAAAAAATCTAAGATGAACCTTGGCTTTCTGAATTGAAAAAGAATTAGACTTAACAAGTTCTGAATTCCTTTTGGACAATTTTATATGACTAGTGTGCTTTTAAAGACTTAAAAACTGAAAATAAAATGTTGTCACTGTCACATAATGTTTTCTATTTACAGCCATCAGGTGGTGACATCAGCCCAACCCATCAAACAAATCACACTTACATCAAAAGGTGTCTCTGTTCTTTCTATGCTGCCCCCGACCATCAGCATGCCATCAGTGGAGATGGGCTGCCAGGGGTAGGCCCAGTTCAACCTTTCCACCAGAGTACAGTCCACATATACCTCCAGCCAGAGGGGGGAGACACTGAGTGCCAGCTGGTGCCACTGACTGTCCCGTAGAGATCTGACAGTGATCCTGGTGGAAGTAAATGAAGCAGGTGAAACGGTATGTAGCAATTTGTTATTGATTATTAAACTACTTTTCTGAGAAAACACTGACACATTTCCATGATAATTGTCAGAAACATAATTATGTTTGTTGGTTATTTTATATAAACCATTGGGTCAGACTCACTCATATTCTCTCTGTTGTGTGGAGATGAAGGTGAGTGAAGACAAGCTGAGGCGGAGTTGCAGTTGGATGTGGTGCTGAGAGTTTACCAAAGTCAAAACGCTGCTCTCCTCCCTCTGAGAGCTTTGCAGCTCCATCAGCAGGCTGAACTCATCGGAAAACCTGCAGGACACGGTCAAACACACAGACACACACCAGCATACAGTTAAAAAGGTTAAAAATGAGCTTCTGTTAGAAGTTACCCACAACAGACATACAGAAAAGGTACATGGTACTTTCTTTCTGATCTAAGCAGAGATTTTGGGGTCATGACCCCATATATGGTTGTCTGCAATTCAAATGGGGTTGTCTGAAATGTCTGCCAAAATATTTTTCATCTAATTTTTTTAATTTTTTTATTAACTCTTACGTACTTTCAACACACAATAAAAACTTGATCAAAAACTAACTCTAAAAGGTCAAAATGGGCTCAAAAGACAAAAAGGGTTGGGAGCCACTGTATTAAACCATTAGTTCTGTAGACAATGAACAATTGCAGTATATCTGAAGTTTATCCTGCCACAGTCTTGATTCTGTTTCTCTGTACCTTGGTCCAAATGCCTGCCATGTTGACATCATCAAAGTGCCGTATTGGCCGATTTGAAAATATGGGCAACTCAGACTGTCCAGTGACATGGAGATGTTGTTGGTGGCAGGAAAATGAGAAAAAAGCTGCAATAAGTCCACTTTTTCTGAAAGAGAGTCAATCAATGGAGTTATCATGAAAATGAAAAAAGTATGGAAAAGTAACACAACAACTATTATGCTACTGTACATTTAAGGGTAAAATCCTACATAAATTATTTGGGAACACATCCATAAACATCAGCAATATTATTTTAGATTATATTTTTAAAAAATAACCCTAACCCTAACCAGCAATACTAATTTGTATGCAATAGATATTTGTATACATTTAACAAAATAATTGATAAACATTTATCAATGGAACAATGTTATTTAAAATTATCTATAATTTATAAGTATATTGATGGTTTAAATCCGGCTTCTGTCAGTCCAGTCTGTGTTCATCATGAACCAGAGAGAATCAGTTGCACAGATGCTGTGGTATCTCCTTTCAAAGCAGACTGTGTGCAGGTGGAGGATGATGAACTGGCATCTTGACCCCATGTGCCAAGAGTTTGGATTCCTCTGTGTTCCAACTGGAGCCGGACCACATAATGACAGTTTATGACTACATTAGGTCAGGAGTCAAGAATGTGGAGAATGTGTAGATAAAACTCTGGTCTGGCTGATGTCTAACATAGAAGGGAATTACAAGAAAACCAAGTTTAACATTCTACTTATTAATGTTGTGGGTCAGAAACAGCTACATAAGAAAAATCTGGCCCAGAATAATATGTTGCCTATGTGTGATCTACAGTATACATACCATGTAATCAGCCACATGGATGATATCCATGAAACCACCTGAAACACGTACAGACTTCACTTTGAAATTCTTTATATTCTCTTCTCCATCAGTCTAAATGACCCCTGAATATTTCCTTGTTTCTCCTCCCAGAAGAATAATATTATTGAAAATTGATTGGACGATGTAATGTTATACCTCAATAGTTCTCCATCGCACACCTAGCAAACTAAGACTCACAACGATCTCATTTCCAGTCCCCAAAATAAACCAACAGCGGGTCAGCTCCAGTCTCTCTTATTATTTCAGTGTCTGCTTATATTTTAATGAAAAACCTAAAAGTCTATGTTCTACATAAAAAAAAAACAACTTGTATTCAGAGCAAAGAATTTTAAGCACATTTCTTATGTTATTTTACTTTACATGAAGAAAAATGTGTGCTTCTTTATGGCTCAGAAGTGTAAGTCGGACTCTTCCGACTATGTTCTAGATTACGATGTTACCACTGTGTTAGCATAGGTACTTATGTACGGAGTTCCGACTTACGGCTGTATTTTCATCAGCATTATTAAGGTCTATTTTAGAAAATTGGAACAGTAGTGTTATGCTATATACGTAGCTAGCACCATCTGGACAGACTGCAATAACACTGCAAAGGTACAGGTGTGTTGTGGTACGTCTGTTAATCACAGTCCTCCTTTGAAAAGTTTGTAATGACCTTGTAAACTGCTGTACTGTATAACTGTATACTCCATTTTCTGCCATATTCCTGGGGATATTTGTTCAAGTGCATTGAAATTCTTGTGCGTGTCTCACATATTTAAACCAATATAAAACATACCGTACATCTGTCTGCAGGATGATGCAGCTTTTTTATAGTTTTTCTGCTCTGCTTGTAAGAGCTCACATACCTGCTTCTCTTCGTAAGGTCTCAAACACTAACGATTACCAAATCAATGCACATAATAATGTCTTTATTGCATTTAACTAAACACTGCAATGCAATATCAGATTTTTTTAAGGTTCTGCAGGANNNNATGTGGGTAGAGGGGTTTCAACAACTGGCAAAAAAAGCTTAATGCTTCAGCCTCACACTGTATCTGCAGACTGCATTTTTTTCAGGGACAAAATGTAAGGAAAGCAAACAGATATCCCTTTCACCAGGATTACCCAAGTTAATGAAAAGGTATGTGATCTAACTTCCTACTAAATTTAAGATATTTGCTCCTATCCACCTATAATATGTTTAAGGCACAGAAATGTTAATTCATGTGTGACTGAGACAGAGACAACAAAGATCAAAGTTCTCTTAAGGTTTGAGAATTAATGTAGTTGGTTTATAAGTTAATGTTACATACAGTGATAATGAGTAAATATTTTTCTGATAATGATGTGGTGTCATTTACAATTCCCCATATTATCCTGCAAAACAAGATATCATTGAGCCACTACTAAAAGGTCCAAGGATCTGACAGTTTTCAATTCACTCAGACGCATGGACAGCCAAGACATTATCACATTTACTTAGAATATATTGTTATTTAGAAGGCTGGAGTTTACACAATACTCAAATGCACAAATAGTCAAATTCAAGGAAAAAGGGTGGACCATATCCTATCAGTGTCATGTTCCTAAAATTAATAATTCCAGACTTTATTTCTATATGCTTGGTTAATGGTGGATTAGTGGTTAAGGAAGCGTACTTGGGTCCAGAAGGCTTCAGGTTAGAGTCCACTAGCTGCCAAGTTAGCACTGAGGTGCTCTGAGCATGGCACTGTCTCCACACACTGAGCACCTTATAAGCGTCCGGCGTGTTCACTTCGGTTAAAAACAGAGGTCACATTTGGTTGTGTGCAGTAGTGTGCTGTGTCACAATGACAAGTAGTTCGTGTTTCTTCTTTTCTGTCTTTCCACTTAATTCAGTTAACACCAGAGTAATTTAATGTGCAATATGGAATATGTGTAAAACATCCAAAGGTTAAGAGAGGAAACAGCAGAACAAAGCAGATCCAGCAAAATCATACCTGTGAGGAAAGTTTGTTTTTTTCACTTGCCATTAACACAAACACTTTGGAATAGTTTAAGACCTTCACAGTACAACATAAGTAACACAGAATCCAAAAAAGCTGGGCTGAACACTGTCATCTTAATCTCACAGCCTGTACACCTGGACTAATACATAACTGACACTAATTATTGATTGAGTGACCACATGGAGGAGAAGACAAAGTCTAAACATCATACAACATCTTTGGAGCCTTCGGTTCGTTGCTTCTACATTATTTCTGACATAATAGGTCTGATAGATAACTGCCCTGTCTCTGCATACCACACAACAGACTTCAGGGACTTCTCTCTGGAGACACGTCCCTGATAATAAAAAAAACAAGTCAGTTTACTTTCAAGGGTCTATATTTTGTGTCTACCTCTTGTCTGGCTCTGTGTTATATAAAAGGGTAAAATTTGTTTTATATATACTGTGCTTTAATGAAGGAAGTGCTGCTAACCCACTAAACGACACCAACGTTGCTGCTGACAAAGTCCACTCACCACTCATAAATGTATATTACTGTTTTATAAACTTCTATTCAGTTATTCATTTTTACCGACTAAGTCAACATGACGTAATGTGATGACAAAAAAAATCAACAGAAAAAAGAAAACAATAAAAACGTACATGCATACTTTGATAAATTCTCTGAGAGTGAGAGAGCTAAACAGCCCTTAGTGTCTTTAGTGTAATTTATTTATTTACTTTTTCAATTTTTAGTTAATTACACAGCTGCTACTTCTCACCTGCTCGCTGAAAATCCCAGGTATCTTCATGCAACGCGGTCACATCCCCGGAACATTCAAGTAGACAGAAGTCAAGATAGAAAATAAAAACCTTGACGTAGTTTAATGAAAACATTATTCCAGCTGTTTACCAATAAATACTGTAAAAAATAAAGACACCCGCTGACAAACATCAGAACGCACGTTCTTTGCAACTGAGCTCTGCGTCAGGTGGAGAGCGGTTGAACGCATTTGTTTCAGCACCGTCAAACCAGGATGGAGGCGGCACCCTGTCACTTCCGAAAACTTTTCAAAATAATAGCTGGATACAGGAAACTAATACGTTCTACTCACTTGATACTTGCGAGCGGCTTCCCGCCACCTCGCAATTGGCATTAAAAAACAAAACCTTCAAATTGCTTCCAAAAACAGCATAATGATGATTACCTTGCCAGGTGTTGTTTTCATGAAAAAACTAAGCAGTTTATCTTTTATTTTGTAACTTAGAACTTCAACAAGGTAATTGTAATTCAAATTAGCGTTTTCTTTTTGTTGTTTATGCAAAAACACAAGGGGGCACTGTAAATAGCAACACTGTCAAAAAAAGCAAATTTTTAGGCCAATCAAGTTGGAGAAGGTTTTGTTTCATTCTTTTTTATTTCAAGGTATTTTGCTTCATACAAAAAGTTTAATGTAGAAACAACAGCAGAATTCAAAGTTTGGCCAAGAAACATAAAATCAGGCAAAACAAACATTTCACTGAATCTCAAGGCCCAAACAAAGGAATGTTCCAGCTCTGCTGCACGTATGGAACTATTGACCACAACCAATACTGTTGTTTATAGAAATAAGAAGTCTTTCAGCAGACCCCACAATTTATATCAAATATGAAAAAATCAACAACAAAATAACACATAGTATCTAAAAGTACTAAGTTCTCTACATGCACATACATCGTTAGAACATGCAAACTTTTGTAGTTTGTCGAGGTAAGACACACATACAGTAATAGCCAATAGAATGCAGAATAAAGTAATTGAATCTCTTCTAATATTATATACTATTGACCCAGACTTGGACAAAGATGTAGTTGGAGACCACATTCTTTGGGGGTCCACTGTACTTGAAGCTACACACAGGCAATAGAGTTTGGAAGGTCCAAGATTTTTTTTTTTTTTTTTGCCTTCATGGGAGTAAACTTTTAAAACAATAGAGGTCATTTATATTTTCTTTTTTTTCTGCAAAATAATGTGTTAACATTGGCTAAGGTGAATTTATAAAAACCTTTTTTAGATTTAAAGTTTCTGTTGTGATGTCAGAGTGGGTAAATGTAATATGCATGCAAATATATTATGTAGAAATTCACTGTAACCCTAAAAGTTCTGCTTGCCGTTTACACTTTGTGCCTTTTGTCTCTTTTTTGTCTGCATTTGTTTACACCTTTCAAAGTCATTTTTCTACAAAACATTTGGTCACACTCATGCTCATGAAGCCTAAACGTAATGAGAACATGGAGAAAGCTACTCAAAATTGTGTCTTTGTTGCATAAAGAAGACGTCCTGTCCAACCAGCAGCTTCAAGACATAAATAAAGTGTGTGTGTGTTGCGAAGAAATTGCATAATATAAATAAGATTGGAGTGTGAGAATTTAGCCCAACAATATAAGACTGGAGTATCTTCACCCAGTCGTGACAGATGGAAAATGGTGGAAAGCTGTTTTTCAACACCTCAAACAGCTGGAGAACATGTCTCTTAAAACTGTAAGCAATAACAAAAAAAGAAGTCAGGCCGAAACAGTGTCCAGATCACTCCTGAACATTGTTAGAAATCTGGAGCCAGCATCTCAGTTCACTTCTGGAGTTTTTTTTTTTTTGTTGTTGTTGTCTGTCTTGGAACTTCTCTTTATATAAGAAACAAATATAGACATCAGGATTCCAAATAAAGGCTAGTTTTCTGGAGTTAATGTTACATCACTACAGCCACCAAGTCCACGTGGACAGCATGGTGTTGAATTCAACTGGATTGCTTTAGTTTTGAAATTACTGTTTCTTTCCAAGTGAGATTTCCCCAGATTAGTGACAGAGACAGCGTGAGTGTGAAACACAGTGACCGTCTGTCAAACTCACCAGGTGAACACTAAGATGTGACAACACCAACCAGGCTTTATCAAGTGTTTTTAAATCTGACAGCATTTTTGGATCCTAGGCTTCACTTTTGGAACCCAATGGCTCTGTCTATTTCTTTTTAACGCTCTTCGCTACATGTTGTTTATTTTAGACACCTACAGTACTTTACTTAAAGTCTCATATTTTCCCAGAATGCAAGTTTCCACAAACATGCTTCAAGTCCCAGCATAAAAGCATTGTTAGTCTTAACCTGTTTGTCGTGTCCCAACCCAGATTTAAGGATTACAGTTGATGTTTGATAACAACATAGGGATAGTTCAGGTTTTGGAGTTGTGGATGAATATCAATGTTTTAGTGCCATATTTATGAGCCTTTCTATTGACTGGGTTATTCCTACTGCTTTTACAGACAAGTCTGCAAGCAAAATGTTCTTGTCATACAAAGAAAATACCCTTTTTTACAATGTCTTTTTTACAGTAAGTATTTTGCTATCTGCACGAACTGGCAATTAGGAAAAAAGGAAACCTTTTTAAGATTTGGACATCAGTCTCTTTGGAACAGTGTCTACTATCGGAACAGTTCCTGCTGTCAGGCTCCATGAGACAGGGGCCGCTAGAATTTCAACAGTTTTTGCTTTCCACACACACACCAGAGAAACAGAGACAGAGAAAGAGAGAGAAAAAGAGAGAGAAAACAGGAGAAACAAAAACAAATACCACAGAACCAGAAATTTGATGCATATATGCCAATAAATATCAGTGCATATGAATTTGGGGGTTTTTGAAGTGAGATTGTATGAGCTACTGACTACATTGTCCATTAGTTGTCATTGCAATTATTCAAACTAATACCCTAATCCAGCAGTGCCTACTATCTTAGCCTGTGTTAGGAACAATGTCGCTGCCTTTTTTTCCACTCTACCCCTATAGGGCTGTACATCTACGCTTGTCCTATGTCTATTTCCTCCACTCTTTTCTTTCCCATGTGTTAAATTGACACTTTAAGTTTGACTTTATTTTAAACTGTAAAATCCATTGAGACAAATGTGTTTTGCGAATTCGGGCTATTCAAATAGAATCGACTTGACTTCATTCCTGTGTCTGTACTGTGTTGAAAACTGACATCTGTAAAGCCCTCACTCCCTGCACCAACGTTCATAGATGAAATAATCACTTTACACTACTGCACTGTAGAGCAGTCGGTCGTATTCTGCTTCCCTTTAAAAGTTCAATGCATTGTCTTATGACATAGAACAATTTTTTCTCCCTCAAAGATACAAATCTAACCATTAAGGGGAAACAAAACCAGCAGTTTCTTCGTTCTCAGTAGCTAAAAATGCAGTTCAAGGCCCTGGGATGGTCCATAATGTGGATTAGTGAACGGTCTACAACCTAGAAGTTGGAAACGCCGGTCAACAAGCAAAAGGACAAAATAGTGAAAATATTTGGTGTTATCATGAGCTAAAGCTGCTATTAGATCCCAAATTCTATAAGATTGGCCTTCAGCTAAATACCAAGAACAACAAATACATGATCTTATTATGCTTTTCAACAACTATATAATAAAAGACTATACAGATTATGTCCAGACTAGAGAACGTAACATCAAATTTGTCTCATTTTTTCATATGTGGCATAGTCAACAATCAAATGTCATTGTCTAACAGTTCAGAAAGCTGTGGTTTTCACACTAAATGTCTGCCATGACCATGCACATACCAGTCACTGCACTGTGTGATGAGTTAGCCGTAAGTACAAAAGAGCCAATGTATTAGTAACTCATGAAACCCAACTTCAGAACCTCCCTCTCCTCCCCTCAAATAAATAAATAAATAAATAAAATAAAAATTTGATTTTGAATTTGATATTTATGTTTCACACACACAGACACACACACAATCACACACACATATGAGGTCCTGTCCTTCCGACCTGCTACTGTGGTCAGAAAGTGCACAGACATTAGTTTTATCTGAGCAGGTAAAGTAAGACTAGAGGTCACACTGAGACATTGTTTCCAAAAAAAGGCATTTAAAAAAAAAGCTCTAACCTGCTCTAACATCTGAACATGCACAACGTCTCATTGGCCTCAATGTCACTGGATACATACATTTATGCAGTTGTAATAGTATTTTCCAAAACACTGCTCCATATACACTTTTTATATCAGAAACAAGAAAGAAATATAGTTAACTTCAGTTTTAAGGGTTTTTTTTTTTTTAAGCGTGCTGTAGGTTATCGTCTCCATCACAGACAAGGGTTTTTGCAATTTTCTGCAGAGCTACATACAGAGTGAACCAAACAGCTACTCATGTGTGGATGCATTAGAAAACAGTTACTGTTTTTTTCTCTACAGTATATCTAAAAGGATAGGCACTTGTTTTAAAACATCGCAGAGAAGTCTGTAAGAAACATTAGACCTGAAACAATTGCAAAATCGGAAGCAGTTCACACAACAGTTTTTTTTCTATTGTAAAAAAAAATGCACAAAAAAAATCTACTTGATCTTTTTTTATGTATTGTATATGTATATATATGTATATATATTATATAGGTATATATTTATACATACATATATGTATATTATAAAATAAATTGGTCAGTCAGGAGATTGGGGATCTCTCTTTAACTTTGCAAGTATTGTAATATAAGACAGATAAACAATCCTTGCTGCCTGTTCATCTGCCCAACACACGAGGGAATGTCATTAAGGATTAGGTATAACCATAGAATAACGCCGTTCTAAACTAAAGAACACCACAGACGTGGTGACTTCACTGAACTGTACAACAGACACCATCTTCATTCTGTTTCTCACTTCATGTTGCCACCACCATAGTCACCCTGATGTGTGAAAGCATAACTTTATTTTGTTTTCTTAGAAAAATGAACAGCTTCACAAATATGACTCTTTCATCAAGGCTATCGCCACAGTATTTCATTCTGATCATTTAAAATCAAGTGTCGACGCAGAGCAAAGAGATGGTGCTCATGACGGCTAAAGATTTACATAGTATATGAAAAATAACTATTTTGTTAGACTTTTCCACAACTAAACTGTTGGAGAATTAAAGCAACATTTAAGGATGTCATAGTTTTGACTGGATGAAAATGCTTTTGATATATTTAATGCTGCATAAAGAACAAAAGTTGTAATTGCTTTGTTGTCTAATGTTGTCTAATGATGAGCATCAGTACAAAGGATGAACACATTGGGATACTGGCATTATAATGTGTTTACAAAGATTTCTGCATCTGACCCTCACTCGTCTGTGCAATGATCGGGTCTACAGGTTCAGGTAAAACCAAGAATCTGAACGTGGACTGGCCTGAATCTGTCAACACGAGTCGACAGAGACAACAAATTACAGACATTCCATCAGTCTGTTAATACAACAATACATAAAATAAAAACTTTCCTGTTTAACATAAAGGAAATCTATTTATTTCCAATTGGACTTTTTAGAATTAACTGTTGCCACCATAATTTCATTTAGAGTTAATGTGTATTTGTTTGTGTTTTAGGTTTGTCGAGGTTAGAATAGTGTGGATTTGATTTTACTAGATTAGATTAAATAAACTAAATAAATAAAATAATCAACTTTATTGATCACCTTGGGAAATTCCCTCAAATAATCATTTATAAGTTGTTTTGTTAAAATAGCATAAAGATTAATATAAGTTATTATTTTAAATTAAATGTGTTGATCATAATATCCTGTTAAATCTGCTCGGAAAAAGTTGGGTTGATATTTGACCTAAAAAGATTAAATTATTCCACAGACAATTTCCTGACTAAAGTCACTGCGAATGACATTCATTAGCTCTGTTGGTCAGGTCAAAAGATCTTAAATGGATATTATGTGTTTGGTGATGCAGTATGAGGGTTGTTATGGTGGTGTCAAATTTTACCCTGAAGTCAAAGCAGAGTTGAAGATCAGTCCAGTCAGACACAGACGTCTGACTCTCTCTCTGCCCTGTGATCAAGACGATGGATTCATGTTCCTTCTGTTTAGACGTTTTCTCTTCTAACCTTAGCTCTCCAAGTTTCAAATACAGCATTAGACACACGCACACAGTCACAATGTAAACTAAAGCCTTCAAAGAAGATGATAAAACTCATCACAGTTTCTCAAAAATGCATTAAAAAGATTGGTTTAAAGCCATGCTAGCACCATTCGTTCTCCTCTGCCTCTTGGTAATACCTGGGTGCCCTGACGCCAGAGCCTGGGCTGGTGTTGCCTCCAAAGCTAAAGTGGTACCCATTAGGTACCCTAAGGTTCTGCTGCGGAGCCGGAGGGAGGGCTCCGGTCATGCGAGGCAGTGCGGTCCAAGATGAGCGTCCGGTGCACGGGCTGGGCGACAGAGACACCGTATCCTGGAAGACGTCCAGCTGGTCCCGGAGGCTGCTATAGGGGCTGCCCAGGGCATCGCTATGGCCCTGGCCTAGAAAAGGCTCAGAGCTAATACGAGTGACGGGGCAAGGGATGTGGTGTGAGCTGCTGTGTCGGAGGGCGTTGTGCTCCGATAGCCCGCGGCTCAGCCGTCCAGGACTCAGAGAGGCCTGACTGGACACAAAGTGCACAGGGGAGGAATTGGCAGTCTTGTAGGCCACCCCTGGCCTTGGGGTGAGGGGTGTCTGGGGGAGCTGCCGTCGTCCACGACTCGGCGTGCTAGAACTGAAGCTCAGCACCACTGGGCTGCCTTTAGCCCAACCACTGCCCTAGATGAAAAGTGGACAAGCAATTTGAAACAAGAGAACGATGTGCAAAAATATGTAAGAGGAAAGATAAGGGGAAGGAAACAAGGGAAAAGGAGAAGAAAAGGAAAAGGAAAAAACACCAACATGAAAGATGAAAAGAAGAAGCCACTCCATAGAAAGAAGACAGACAAAATGGATGGAAATGATGAAAAGAGAAAGTGGGAAAAGAAGAGAAAGGCCATGAGAGGCTGCACCACAGACTGGCAGAGGACAAAGTAGAATTAAGAGCATGCAAAAAAATCACAGCGGCCCAGCAGTCAAAAAAGCTGCATAAGATCAACATGGGGAAAGTACAATTTTGTTATTATCTTAAACTCTTGTGCCTAATCTAAAACAAAGCATTTATTAATTATTCTTCTTCTTCTAACATTTAACCAAGACCAAAAAAAAAACCTTCTTATTCATTACTTTCCCTCTCCTCTCCCCCCACCTGCTTGTTGTTGAGTTCCAGCCCCTCGCTGGGAGAGGCGGCACAGCTAGCTGTGGCAGATTTGCTGTGGCAGTGCTCCCGGCCACAAAAACGGTCGCAGGAGTAGTAGCGCTGCTTGTCCCCCGTGGAGTGGTGGTGCTTCCTCTCATGGGAGCGACCACGGTCGTGGGCTCGCTCTCTGGAGGTGGCTGGATCTGATACAGGTTCATCCTGTGCACCTATACGTTTGGGAACATGTCGTGGTTAGTGGTTACTGTTTTGACTTTAATGTAGACACATAATTCAACTCTTGTTCTGACTGTGGAATCAATTAATAAAGCTTTATGTGTGTGCCATGTTCACTTGACTTCAAAATATTATTTTTTGTATTTTTACAGAATTCAACATACACACACACAAACACACACATACACACACAGTCCAAACTAAATCAAATCAATTAAATTATAAATTAAATTCTCTCAGGAGTGATACAGTAAGAATACACTGGAAGAAGTGTTCAAAACCCACATAGCTAGATTTACATTGTATCTAGAGCACCACACCGCCACCTCTCGGTGTGCATGAGCTAACTCACCAACAGAGATTGCTGGCAGTCCACCCACGGGTGTATCCAGAGACCGCTGTCTCTTCTCTCTGTCTTTGTCTCTCTCCCTGCGGTGGTGGCAGCGATGGTGGTGATGGTGATGGTGGTGAGGACGCTCGTGACTGGGTCTTTCCAGGGTGTAGTCCCGTAAATTGACCTCCTGAGGACGCTGTGGAGCCACCGTGGAGGCGGAACGCTTCATCGGACTTGCATCAGGGACAGCCTGAGGTGAGGAGAACCAAGTCAGCACCGGCAAACTGTTTGTAGCTCTACATTGTGAATTTGAGTTTTTTGAATGACTACATTTCAAAAGATTTACTGTAGGAGGTTAATGAACACAACTAATGATTACTTTAGGGCACAAAATATGAATACAGTAATAGATTAATTAATTTAGTATAGAAGAAGGCAAACATATATAAAAATATATATAAAAGGCTGAGAGTGAGTACTTACAGCCAGATGGGTTCCTGTAGAGAGTCGTGACTGGCCCCACTGTTTCAAAGGAAAGGTAAAAAGAGCAAAAATATGACATATTAGGAACCACATTCGAATGCTGTCGGCTAAAATCTCCAAGGAATTATTCATTTTCTGAAGGACTTTCTGCCAAAACTGTTTCCTCTCATCTTTGAACTTTTCCTACAGTTTCTCTCACTTCACAATAACCCAGTCAGCCGTCTTTCTTCTCCTGTGTATCTATAATCCAGGGCCATTTGCAGCCACTACCATCTATCCACTTGCTAGCAGGAGAAAAACAACAATGGCAGGCTGCCACGACCTAATCGGATTACTCTGGACTGCTCCCAGTGAAAGTAGGACCAGCAGTGGCTTCTCTAAATGGCCTGAGAGAGGAATGCACTCTGAATGCACAAATCGATCAGCATCACTCAGGAAATGAAGGCGCTTTATTGTATTTCTTCACATCAAGAAAAAAGATTAATTTAGTATTTTTTAAGCTTTGTCTAGACCAAAGGTGTAGACAGCAAGAACTGTCAGGAAAATCACAAGATAATTTGTTTTTGAATCATGGTTTATTTGTCATAAACTCAATGAAAGCAATAATCACTCTTTTAGTCCGGCCGGACTAAAAGCTTTACACCCTAATAGAAAGCAAAACCATTTTGAATTCCTTACCACAGGAAGTTCATGTTATTAAATACTAACACAGAAAGCTTAGGTAAGTTTAATATATTTAATTGGCTTATATGTACGCATCATCACAGTAATAATAAAGTTATTTTATATGGAATTTTGATCAAGCACCTAGCACTAGTTTACGATTACATTCATTTTAGAAAGCAGCAGAGATGTGCTGGGAAAGAGAAGAGACATTGACCTGCATCTCAGCAGTGAGTCGAGGCATGGAAGCAGCTCTGCCCTGGTTCTCCAGACTTGCACCAGGAAGTGGAATGGTACTGCTGATACTGGTCTCCATCTTCCTCATCTCCACAGACTCCTGGGCATGTGTACAGAGAAACAGACAGACAGACATTTATAATCTAGATTTACCAAATCTTAACTCAATAAAACTGTATGAGGTTGTGGTAGAACAGGAGATTTTAATCATGCACATTTGCTAAATATTTGTTCATCCAAATTAAAAATCAATTAGGAAATGAAGGCACCCTCCAGCTAGAAGACAGTAGTGTGTACCATCAACATGCTCCTAATCAAGTTGCCAGTAATGTCTGAGCCCATGAAAAGCAATGGGTTCAGACATTCCCTTTAAGCAATTTCCTTCTGTCTGAGTTTTTGTCATAAAACGTCTTTTGTACACAGCTTGTGTCACTGTAAATTACCTGAACCGCCGCCGTGTCTAGGTTGTCCTCTGATGGACCCCTTGATAGGCTTTTCTTAATCTTGGCTCGAGACACTTCCTTTGGTTTCTCTGTCACCCAGGACGATGACGGCTTGATGTTGTTATCCTGACCTGGCCTGTGGGTGACATCAGTTACAGGTCAGCCTAAAACGACTATAAATGTGATATTTAAAAAATCTATCTCTACAACATCTTCAGTCAAATGTCCTGGTACACCTTAATATTAACGGACCAGTTTCATAGTAAATGTTTGAGCAGCTGTACTCATAGGTTACTGGGATCTTGGACTTAATGGTATGTTCTAACAGTAGACATTTTTTTTCAATCACTGTATTCTTTGTATTTTTGCTATACTGTACCTTCTCCTGTCTCCACACAAATACAAACCTCAGAAGTGATGCAATACCTAACTGAGTTCCTCATCTAAACCTGCAGGTGTTTTACTTTTAAAATGTTTTAGGCATTCTCAGTCTGAGTCTGAATTTATCTGTACTAGAATAGACACATACTTTCTTCTTTTTCTTTCCACTACATGGATAACCAGTGACTATACAATGACCAGTGACTCGCAACAACTTGTTGCTGACTTTTGCTTTTTTTCATCTTGTTTTGTGCTTTTATTTGCCTCGCAAAATAAAACACAACAGAACCACAGTTAATGACTGGAGTCATATCAACAGTAACAGTAACAATGTTAATTTAAATCCTGAAGTAGACTGGAAAGACACTCTTCAACTCAACAGCCTATAGCAGTGTTTTTCAACCTTGGGTTCATGACCCCACAGGGATTTAAAGAGGGTTGCCCAAAATGTCTAGTAATTGATAAAAAAAATACTGAAAAATACTCTTTCACTTTCATGAATGTAAATCAAGTTCAAATAAAATGTCTGAGCTGGCACATCTTTTACATCGATTACATGACTGCACAACTACTAAAAATGTCTCTGGGATCACAAGATAAAAAAAGATCGGGAAGCACTGGCCTGTGGAGTAAACTCAATTCTCATCCATGTTAGTGAGTGGATCACTTAAATCTGTATGTTTTCATTTCCACTGAAGTAACCCTGCCAACCCACGTACAGTATATGTTTTGGTCCCGACTGCATGGAGAATTGAACTTACATCGTGCTGCCATTGTTGAGAGAGCTGGAGCTGGGCCTGGTCTGCAGCTGGGACTTTGCATGAGATTTGGGCTGTGGCTGAAGTATGCTGGGCGGCTCCACGCTGTTTAACATCATAGGCAGGTCTTTCTCCTGCATATGAGTCAGAGGCAGCAATGGCTTAAAGAGAGCCCCGACCTTGCACTGTGGAGAAGAGACGGATAGCACCATGCTGAAGACATCCAGAGGCAGCAGGCAGAATATTGTTGGGCCCAGATGTGACGGCAGAAACTCACTGCTGCCACACACTTGTGTGAAAACTGGGGCGACAATATTCATCTTTGGCAGTCATGCTCATCTGTGTGTGTATGTGTGTGTGTGTGTGTGTGTGTGTGTCAAGTCGAAACAAATGAACAGCAGTGCAGTACATGTGCAAGGTTGCAAGATATGTGCCAACTAGCAGCCAAGTGCATGTTCATCTACGGCTGAAATGTGTTAGAGTGGACAGTCAGGTTTTTTATCATTTGGTTTTATGAGGTACTAACACAGAGTCAGAGATGTTGACCAACTAATGCTAATACCTGCACATAAACCAATGTGAACAGTCACATGTTGATGCTTATTATTATATCAGATAGTCTAAGTGTTTGGTCCTCCTGTGGTGTCACTGTGGAAGCTGTCAGCTTTGTAATCCACCACTGAAGGCCAGGTTGGATACAAAAGTCACTCACTGCATGTGTGTATTTGCATGCATTTGTGTTCTAGTGTGTGTTTACGTGAATCGTCTGAATGTTTGCTGTGCACATGCATCACTGCATCCACCATGGGTGTGCTTTAGGGCAAGTCCGTGTCTCTATATGTGTGTGTGTGTGTGTTTGATGTAGATGTTAGACCTGGGTGCCTGATGCATTCTGTTGCTGCTGCTGCTGCAGCTGCAGCCTCCTTGCACGGTTCTGCTTGTAGTAGTCAAAGATCATCAGCGCAGCGTAAACCTTCCCCACAGTCAGTTCATTGGCTGGGAAGGTGAGGAGAGGGACAAGACATGAGGAAGGCAGATAGGGACAGAAGAAAATGGAGAAGGAGTATGAGGAGGATTTCTGCTGACTCACACGCTTCCCTCTGCTCCATCGTTTGTCTTTATTTACCAGCCTGTCTCACTGATGGTTGAGTTTAAAAGGATAGTGACATCTTAATTTGAGTGATTTGTTTAATTTGCTGCAGGTAATCAAAATAAATTCCTTCAGGTAAAACAAAACGAACATCATGATAAACGTGGCTCCTTCCTCCCTGTCACAGTAGGAATGTGCAAACTTGACCAAAAGGTGGCAGCATAACACATGCGTCTTTCACATGCAGCGGCGCTGGCCATAGTGTTAGTAAAATAACACCAGAGATTATATTAGTACGTCAAGATTATATTAGTACGTCAATAGAAATGTAATAATGTAACATTATAATATTGTCTTAGAGTTATTGTTCAGGAGTGTGTACAGGTGAAGATTTGACCGTATTAAATACGGAAATCTGTTTCATTCCTGTTTCACTGGATCGTCTCTGATGATGGTGAGATGCTTACGTTTGTGTGGCGTCACCAGTAGGTCCATGGTCTTTTGTGAAAGGTTGGGCCACACAGTGGACAACTCCTTCTTTAACTCAGCATCAGACAGTCGCTGAGCTACCATACCTGCTAATCAGACAAATATACATCACTGACAGTTAAAAGCAATTAAATGCCAAATATAATAATGAAAACTTTTGAGACATGACATGTTGGCTAATCAGTCCTTACACCTATGACACAAACAGACCACATGTGATCACTGTGACAGATGTTAATAGCAGGTCTTTACTCCTCATTAAAAGTGTAACCAGTGGCACAAAAACCAGAAGAAGGAATCTCAGCCAACTCTCCCAGCACAGCACAGTGCTAATGAGCCGAGCCAGGAGTCACATTATAACATTTTTAGCTCTGAGGACAGTCAGCAACAGCAGCTGGATCTTTATGCACATCTGTCACTGTCACTGTTCAAATCTCTGTGGTGTAGGATTTAGCACAAGTTAAACCCACGCAATTTAATACGCAATAATAATACGCAATAATAATACCACTGCAAACTTGGTGCTTGATTCTGATCCCCTGATGTAACCCCGACTCTACACTAAACCCATCTGTTACTCTGACTGCACTACTGACCACTGTCCTGTTGTCCTCGATATGATGCAAAACCAGATTCACAAATTGTTTTAATTTTGTTTTTTTTTTGTTGACACCTTCTCTAAACAACTCTTTCATTCACTAAAATGCATCCAGTACATATCCTTAATCACTCTAACTTGCAGCAATACTCTCATCTCTATCTTTATATTTAGCTAACTGATCCAAACTTAACTTTTAAAACACAGTATTCAGATATGTGTATGTGTTTGTGTGTAGTGGTTCTCTGACCTGAACCCAGCTTAATATCCAGTGCCGTGCGGATCAGAGCCATCAGGGTGGAGGTGAAGTGAACAGAGTTGTCATCAGCAATGGGCATGTTCATTTTAACCAGACGCTGAGAAAAGGGGGAGATGAGTATTGACCATTGGACATTGGATAAGAAGCAACCACAAACGGATTCATCAGAACATACAGTCGACGCAGAGAAATCAATCTGTGTGCTGCTGAGTTTCAACTCCCCCTCTCCTCCACAAATCACCTGTCTTTGCAATGATTCCATCCTTGGCTAAATTTTGTCTTATGTAAACGTTTAAATTATATTGATATAAGATTACTGCTCAGCACACAAAAAGCCCTCTCTACAAGAACATACGGAGGAGACAAACTCGACATTCACATTCACGGCTACTGGCTACAGTATGTACTATGCTGCAAGTCAAAGTGCACTGGTGCAAGACTGACATCGACTGAAAAAAAGGTGAGAGAACGTATGTAACGCATAACCATGGAGGTGCCTCGGCAGTCGCAGGAGCTCGACTCTGTGGTTGCCATCCTAAGAAAACATCAACTTGGAGTTGACGAGGTTGCTTATGTTCTACAGGTGCAGATAGCAGTAGCTACAGGACAAAAATAAGTGTGCATTCCACCAAGCTTAGGCAGCCTTAGCAAAAAGACTTGTTTCGCATAAGACTAATGGCACTAGATGGTAGCTAAATGGTGTTTGCTGAAAGAGTTGAGCTCCCCTGAACACAAAAAGCATTCATATACATGTGCTATCAGTGGCAGTGCAGAGAGTCAGAGAAAACCGTGTCAGAATGGGACAGTGATGGGAGAGCTGAGGGGAGCACACAGGAAAAACCTGTGGTAGTTTGCAGATGTTTACATACATTTACCCACATGAACACTGAAACACACTCACACAGACACATGCCAACACATCTGAAGTCTGCATAAAGGATGTTCTATAGCTGTTTATAGCTGTTTAATCAGAAAACACAAGTTATTTTTTTTCACTTGAACTTAAACAACCCTACCATGCCAATGTCATAAAATCTACGTTTAGACTAATCTAATAATGACATCTAATCAGAAGCATTGAGCATTGATTTATTGGTCCTTGTCCTTCAACCCCAATATCCAGAAAAGAGCTGCAGAATTCGATAACCAAACAGTAATATGAAAACGAATAAAAGCAGGCAAAAATGGATAAACGCCGATTGGTCTGTTTGGAAAGACTTGCAATACTTGTAATGTAGATACAGGGATTTCTGTCTCAAAATTGGCTCAAATATATATATAAATATATAAAATGAATAACTGTAAACATTCCATTTAGATCCTACGATGTTAATTGGTGGTATTTTGTCTAAACTAACTAGACAAACGTCTATCTAAATGTATAGTAAAGACCTTGTTGATGTCACTAGAGATACTTGTAAATATGATGTTGGGTTACTACCAATGATCATCTGTAGTACACGCACACACACAGACACGCATGTAGACACAGTATTGATCAGTAAAATGAAATGAGAGTAGGAATGGAAGAGGAAAGAAAGGCACAGTCCACAAAGTGAAAAGCATATGTAGGAAGTTATTTCCAGAAATTAGCAACAGAAGCCACACAAACAAGCACACACGAACAACCCACCCACACATACACACAAACGCACTGCTCCACCAAAGTAAGCCCAACAAAGGCAAAACATGACATATGTTTTTTTTTCCTCTATGTATGTATATATTTCTTATAAAATGTCTATAGATTAAATCTATACGTTATCATTAGTTTAGGGTATTAGCCTAGACAAGCAGCTCTGCTTGAAAAATCATGTGATCGAGGAGGAGGGTCTTAAACAAAAAAAGTTTTGTGCTAGCAAAAAAAGTAAGGAAATAAGGGAGGACTGCAGAAAACAGACACTGGCTTGAGTTTGTACCAGTGGAAGAAAGGTTGTGGAGCACAGGATAGAAGGTGGAGGAATGAGAGGGTCTACCTTGTAGGCGACTCTTGGCGGACATTTCTTTCCCAAACCTAAGGGTGGGGACATGTGGAGCAGCATCTGATACATATCGAGGTACTTGATACGGCCACTTCATGGAGAAGAAAAATAAAAACAAAACCCAAACAGAGAAGGATGGGGAGTTAGAGAAGGAGGAGAGGAGCAAAGGGGAAAGAGGTCAACAAAAACAAAAGAATAATGGAAAGGAAAAACAGAAATCTGTTGTTAATAGATTTCCTAAGGTGAGATGTAGCATCGATGCCATCCTTGGCCACTGGGTGAGGGCACAGGGATGCATCTCTGTGGAGCTCACGGTCCCTGAGAGGAAACATGAGATGGCAGAATGTGAGAGTTTGGACGGGAGAAGGGGAGGAGAAAGGAGAGGATGATGGGCTGACCTGACACACAGGATGCTGATGGGATGAAATAGAAATGACTGCATTGTAACAGGGATGTCTGCCTCAGCATGCTTGCAAACATCCCACTGGTACATCAACCAGGAAACACAGAGACAAAGGTTTCAAAGCCAGCCCAAGTTTTGACTTAACTGAACTTATAACACTACTGTCCTTTAGTTCAATGTTTAACAAAAGATCAATTCAAAAGATCATTATGATTATAAAAAATGTGAATTTTTTGGAAGTATTCAAAGCATCACCAAGTAGAAAGTGGGCATGGTTGGTGGCATGTTGTGCCTATGCACCATGGCTTTGAAAGCTTTGTTTCCACTCCGGCATCATAAACCAAAAGCCAGTCAGTTTGAAGGGGCAGATGCTAAAACTAAAGGCGATTTCATTGGTGCACAGCCATTCAGTTAAGAGATTCTTGGTAGAGAAGTACACAAAGCACCCTAGTGACAGAAATGTCTGGTGGTTGCAAACCTTGTATGCTACCCTATTAGGGCAGTTCTTCCCTAAGCCAAGGGGGGGTGAGATAATGCGTAACAAATTGTACATATCCTTATAGGAAATCCGTCCACTGTGGGAAAAGAACAAGCACATAAATGAACAAATATACAGGACAGCTTAAATTGTAACAGTGATTATTGGTGGGCTGACTGCATACAACAAGGTACAGGAATGAGGCCTGTGTGCGAGGACTGACGAAGACAACTCAGACTGGGAAAAGAGCAGGGTTAAGGTGTTCACTTTGCTTTGTGTGATTTTGTTTGGGGCCCAGATGGAGATGTGGACATACCATGCAGCTGGGTCATACTCGGCCCACACCCGGATGAACTCATCCAGGTGATGAGGTCCCAGGATGGAGGAGTCTCTGGTAAGGTACTCAAAATTATCCATGATGACAGCCACGAAGAGGTTCAGCATCTGCAGCAGAGACATAAGAAGCAAAATATTTTGTTGACTGGATTTGATTTTAGGAACTACATTTGATCAATAATCTTGATTCTTAAGTTGTCAAATTCTTGTTTCTTGGCCTTAATGCTTAACAATAGTGGGGAGAAGGGAGTATATTTTTATTGATTTTCCTGGAGGACAGTTAAGATCACTATCATACCATATCCAGGACCTTTGTAGTATTCACTGTGAGCCATGAGTTAAAAATATGGTTAGGTGTATACATCATAAACTAGTAACTTTATCTGTTGAAACAAATCAACAGATAAAGCTGTGTTCTAGTGTGTGTTTTTCTATCATTTTCTATCATTTGAAAATAGTTCCAGCAGGAGGCAGTAATACAAATATTAAAGAGATAAAGCAGCCAATAAGGCACTGACCAGGAAGGAGCAGAGGAAGATGAAGGAGACAAAGTAGAAGTAGGCAAAGTCGCTGCCGCACTCTTTTCCATGGGTCCCTGAACGTTCATCACAGGCTCGATGACTCAGACATGACAACATGATCTCATGCCAGGCCTCACCAGTCGCACTCCTGATGCAAAATAAACACAGATGTAGGACAGTGAGACTGTTGTGTACTGCACATTTCTACATGTCATTTCATGTATACCAAGATACCAATAGAAATTATTGGTATCTTAAGAACTAGAACATTATTTCGTGGTTGTGGGAGATGCTGTAACGATAAGACGGCAGAAATACATCATCATGATATCATCACTATTCTTAAATAACACTTCTTAAACAAACAATAAGCCATTTCAAAGTGACATATTCTTATCTTCATCATTGGTTTCCATAGACTGTGTAGATGGAGAGTAAAATAGTGAGACATGTACCTGAAGAGGAGCATCAGAGCCTGGAGGAATGTACGGAAGTTGTTGTGGTGATTGATGGCTGTGTCCTCATTTAGGTCAATGTTACCAAACACCTGAAGTACAGACACACCAGGCAGCATGACTTAGTTCTGTCTTCACTAAATGGAAATAATTAATTTGACCCTAAGCTAATCATAATAATTCTAAAGTATGCACCAATTCATGTCAATCATAGAGACTCACACACCTGCATCCCGATGATGGCGTAAATGAAGAAGAGCATGGCGATGAGCAGGCAAACATATGGCAGCGCCTGTAGACAAGAAGTTGAATTAATTACTCATTTGCACTCATACTCATTTCAGACAGCTTTTCTGTTTGTTCTGTCACAGTGCATAAGTGGCCTGTGAGGAGACACCTTGAAGGACTGAACAAAGGTCCACAGCAGGATGCGAATGGTGTAGCCCTGCCTGAGGAGCTTGATGAGGCGAGCAGCTCTGAACAGTCGCAGGAAGCTCAGGTTCAGAAGTCTGTCCTGCTGGACAAAGGTGAGATATCATTCACCAGGAGAATACATGGCAACCAGAACATTCTCCTCAGGGTTTACTGTTACAGCACAGATCATAATATATGAGTTATTGATAATCTGTTGTTGCACTTCAATAATCAAGCATAGTTAGAGAAAAAAAGAAAGAGCCACCTGCAGGAGAGAAAGGGAGCTAGAGCAATTTGTTTTACAGAGTGTGGTATACAAAGTATATTTTATCTGATAAAATAAAAAACTAAGTATGTTGTCTGAATGTCACTCACCGTAGTCTAGTGAAGATTGGGATCAGTGACGACAACCAACATGATGAAAAAGACAAAAGGGTAGAGAGAAAAATAGAGAGACCCAGAACAAGAGAGAGAGAAAGAGAGAAAGAGAGAGAGAGAAAGAGAGAGAGAGAGAGAGAGAGAGATGGAGAAAAGTAGAGTCAGGACAGTGGCAGGAAAGAGAATCAGACAACAGTTATAGTGCACATAAAACTGATACATGTCAACAAACAGACACACATAAATCAGTCAGTGCCATATGGATGCACATGGGTTGATAGGATTAAGGCTGTCAGAAGGGAATATTCTCTTACGTTGATTTCAGTCACAAGGATGTCTGTGATGCTGCCCAAAACTGTCACAAAGTCAAACACATTCCAGGCGTCTTTCAAGTAGTTCTGAGGACAAAGAGTTAAACAAAAATTCCTAATCTTCGTTAAGATTAGGAATTTGGTAAAGTTCTTATAGTTCAAAGAGAATATGGGCCCAGATATTTTGGCACACATGCTCACTAAGAGGCTGAAAATACAATCTATTCCATTAGCCAAAACACACACAAATGCAGTAATAACCTAAATCAGTGTGTTGGTGATTTACTTCATTTTTATTTTTGCAGGTAAAGGGCATTCAGGAGTCTAAAGGAGGTCCAAAATGTCCTCTATCAATGCTACTCACGAGTGGACCAAAAGCAATGATCTTCAGGATACACTCTAAGGAGAAGAGAGTGGTGAAGACAATGTTTAGATTCTTCAGCATCGCTTCATAGAAGTCAGGAGCTCCATGGAACTGAGGACAGACAGAGGCTAACTGAGCTACTGTACAACTAAGTCGTTACAGTTCAAAGTTCAAATAATATTAGAAAAGAAGTGAATTTTAACCTTCATCATTAGAACCACGGTGTTCAGGGCGATCATGATCATGATGGAGTACTCAAAGGGAGCAGAGACTACAAACTTCCACATCCTGTACTGAAAGGACTGCGTGTTCTCGGGCATGTAGCGCGTCAGAGGTTTAGCATTGATGGCAAAGTCGATGCAGGCTCTCTGAGAAAACAAAGAAAGATGACAGAGGCGTGGGTGGCTGCCATCAGTGACTAAACTCAGTATTGCGCTCAGGTGGCCAAAGCTGGCACATGGTGCATACGCAGCTTCATACCAGCTAATTCTTTAGCCACATTAAATTGATTTTAAATGCCCATGGAACAGACTTGTGGTTGGATAACTATTAAATATAGAAAGATTAAAAAAAATCCTCCTTGTTTTCACATTCAACAGGTCTCTGACTTCTGAAGAAAACACACAATGACAGCAACTGAACAAAACAGGAATAGGGGCTAATGTTGAAGTTAATGAGAAGAGTTCTTTGGTAGAATTCTGCTTAGTCAACGTAATCAGATTATCATAAAACATTTGCATAGCTTTCCAGTCCATTTTCAAAGCACACAGTTTTGTGGACAGCTGTAGATCTTGTGTAAAACCGTTTTGCCAAAAGTCAACATAAAAGGTCTCACCTTATTCTTCTCTAAGCTGCACTCAGACAAAGCCTTGTCCCCCTGCTCCTGAAAGGTGATGATGATCAAAGCAACAAAGATGTTAACAAAGAAGAAAGGGAAGACCACGAAGTAGACCACATAGAAGATGGACATTTCTATCCTGTAGCCTGGACTGGGGCCTTGATCCTCGAAGGTGGCATCGACAGAATGCTTCAATACTCTGCAGAAAAGGAGAAAAAAAAACCCAAACAAAAACAAAATCATGTCAGCAGAAGAGAAATGGTAAGAGTGACATGAAGACGTTGATGAGCTATACAAACGTTGGCCAGCCTTCCCCAGTGGAGACCGTGAAGAGAGTGAGGAAGGCCCACAGCACATTGTCGTAGTGGAACTCGTATTTTTTCCACTCCCTTGGCATGGCAGATACCTCATCTTTATCATAGTCCAAGAACTGTCCTCTGAAAGACACAAAGGTATAGATGAAGCTGAGTGACCGCAGAAGGACACAGGTGTAACTTTGAGGCTCTGCAGAGTTTTTGGACATACTTGCAGTCCCTCTGCAGCCCTTTGGATTCATCTGTGCAGTAGAAAAACTTCCCTTTGAAGAGCTGAACTGCGATGACAGCGAAGATGAACATGAAGAGGATGTATACGATGAGGATGTTCAGCACGTTCTTTAACGAATTGACCACACAGTCAAACACTGCCTGAGGACACATGCAAAAAGCTCATTAAAAAAACTTTTTTTTACTTGGTGTAATAACATCATATCAATTTGTCAATAGTTTCATAATTGGTTACTCATAAAATCTTTTCAGGTAACTGATTGACTGAAAAAAAGGAAACCTTTAATTTTGGCAGTCGTTTAATGGTCTTGAGTGGCCTGAGAACCCTGAGAACCCTCAGGGATTTGATGGTGCTGATGTCTTTGCCTTTGGTCCCCCTGGAAGAGGCAACCAGTGTTAGAAACATCAACAGACAGCAAACAACCTGCAGTGATCAGTGATGTGTTTCAGGAAGTGTTACAATTGAACTTCAAATGCTGGGTTGGTTTGTTTGATCTTGTTTTTGTTTTGTTTTTTTTGCCAAGAACCTTTGCTGTCAGCCAAGTATACAGTAAAACTGGGAAGTCATTGTAATCAACTTTTATTTAGCATTTTAGACACAAAGCAGTTAAATAACATTTTTATGTTGTAAATGCATAGTGATTTTTGCTTTGTGTTTCTTTATTAAATATTTCGTCAAAATATATTTTAAAATATATAACTGATATTTACTGTGCTTTACTTGTGTTCTCCTAGACCAATTGGGAACAAGAACAAGAAGCATTCCCATTTTATTATTTTTCACACTTTGCTCCTCTTGTACAACACTGATTCTCAAACCTCACATCATGGGAATCTTATTTATTATTTATACTTCTATATTCCAGTCTTTGCAGGATCATAATGTATTTGTGCTTTTACATTTACCAAGATGTTACAACAAAATGTCACTTCAGGGTTGCTGAACATAGGGTTCAGACTTCCGCTGAGCATTTTGTAAACCTTGCTTCCTGAAACAGACCTTAGATAGTATAATACATAGTAAAAGTATTACATAACAAAAACCGTAATCTTTTTTTTTATTATTATTTGGGTTAAATGGATAAACAACAAAAGTTCAAACTTGGGACTATATATGAAATGTTACAGGATATGATTCAGATGTGTTTAGATCAGCTGGGTTAATGAATGCAACAACAAGAAGAACAAAAAAACAACAACTTTGGAATCCTAGTTCATGCAAGTCGGTCTGAGCCACACTTTACTCCTGTTGAGTCGGAAACAGGTTTGAGGATGTGAAGGTAGATGGTAAGTGTTTAAAAACTACTGCAGTGGCTCCTTCAAAGATCATCTGGTTTTCTTAAACCAGGTTTACCAGTGAACAAGAATGAACAGAAAAGACTACAGCAACAACGCATCATTTGCAAGCAACCAGTATCTCGTTGCCCCTTTCCAAGTAGCTCGCCAAAGGGCTAATGAATGAAATAAAGATTTGAAATAATTGGACGCTCAGCAAGTCTGTTAAAATTTTTATCCAATAAAATGGAGAGTTATCCCAGCCCCTTCCAAAACAAAATGTTTATTTGCCAAAGTAGCTATCAACCAAAACTTGTGCTGCTGTCACCCTTGATTAGTCTGTGGTGATGTGTGACGAGCTGGAGTCATAATGGCAACAGGTGTCCAAACCAACAAGGGGATTCAATGGACATGGACCTCAAAACCTACCGACTGCTCGTAAAGACCTCGACCAAACACGACAAAATCTAAGCCTCTGACCAGTAATGGAACCGAGTGGTAAAAGAAGTTAAGCTTCTAAGTGAAGAACCACAGGTTTAAATGTTGACAGCGACATTCTGCAGAAAATAAGATGAAAAAATAAAAACAGCTTCTTTGGTCAACATGAAAAAATGCACAAGAGACAACATTTGAACCTGTTATTCTTCACTTAGAAGACTAACTGTCTTACCACCAGCTACATTAAGTCACTAATAAATGATCAAAATGGTAAAATGAGTAAAATGTAACACTTTTGATTAATTTTTGATACTTTTCTTTACTTTCAAGTTATTTTTCCAAACAACTGGATCCCCAAAATGTTCTCAGAAACAATGTTACAAAACATGAGTGACTCCCAGACATTTTTATTTTGTAAAAGCAGCGCCCAAAGAACATAAGTTTGGAGACCCCTGGACTACAGCACCCTTGATATTTGTATCTAGCAGACTGGGAAAGTCAGACGTATTTTCTAGACAAACGTTCTACGCAGCATTTTGTAACCGCTCGAAAGTGGACTTGACATAGGCCACTGTGAGTTTAAGAATTAATTACTTGTTACCAGAATCTGTTTTTTATCTTCAGCAGAAGATACAAAGGTACAACAATGATGACATCAGATATCATAAGTCTGCAAGGGTCCCTAGTCATCCAGCTCAGTTTGTTCAACAGTGAAACATATTGGACGATCTCAATGCCTCGAAAACCTAGACATTAGTTTAAATTTTGTAGAATCAATATCTGCCTTGTGTTTCTCATGGTTATATCACATGTTCCATGTTCTATGAGTTGCCATTTTTACAATATCTTCCATTGGATTTTGATCCATTGCATTATTTCTGTTGGAAACAACAACAAGATCCTAATATGAAGCACATCTTTGGAAAAGGTGCTGCAGAGTTAGTTCTTACTTTTCTCCAACAAAGGTATCAAATCCCGACCTTACCATAAACAACACCCACGAGGACTACTGCAATATATCCATCAGTTTTCTGTGCCAAAAAGCTTTTTTTGTTGAAATGCAAACAGGTCAGAGGCCTAGTGTTATCAAGGATTTTTTTCATATTCAGAGAATTTGTTCTCGCCCTAAATTTAATTAATTTGTATAAAAAGAGAAGAGAGCAGCAGATGATTAAATATCTTCATGTCTCCACCTTTTTTTTTTAAACGTGCAGTCCCTCTCCTCAACATCATCTAATTTCACATTATTTATACAAGCAGTCCACACCTAACAATTCGACACCTAAGAATTCTCAAATGTCCTTTAACTCCTTCACCTGGATCATCTGCAGAGTCATGATCTGACAGCAACCTGACAACATTGATTAAATCTCTGGACTGACGCTGAGTCACACCCGTGGTGGTGAAACTACAGAGGGGTGAGGTAACTGTTGCCTCCCCTGGGGAGTTCCAGTCCAGCAGTGAAAAGAGCACAGCGTGGGTGTAAAGAACATTTGCTTTGGTGCGGAAGCCTTTGGACACTGCTGTCCTGTCCGATGCTCTTTTCAAACGTAGCACAAAGGCCATTCTCTTCACGGATTAAAGATTTAGGTCCAACCACATTAACCTAACTTTGACATAATCTATATCTTTTCTGAAAAGACATTTTGAGACATCGACCTCACATACTGCACAAAAGCCATTTAAATGCATTTAAATCAATACAGTAAACCGAAAGGCCTGAAAGGCAACAGTAACAGTTTTCCCCATACAAGTTAGGTTCAGGTTTGTTGACAGTGGATGTTGTGAAAAAGGTAGAAAATAAAAATTAGTCTTTGTTAAAATAACACACTACTTCTACATGACTCCTTTCATTCCAAAATGCAATAGTAATAATTTCTTCATGGAATTGTGATCACCTGCTTACACCTAAAACATGATATATTACTTTAATTTAACAATGATCTCCACCATTTCGGCCAATTCATTTATGTAAGGAAAACATTTAAATATTTAACTAAAAAATTAATCAAAAAGTCGATATAGCATTTTGGAATGAAGTGAATAAAACCATTGGTGGTTTTTCAGACTGAGGCAGGTTTCATTTGAAAGCTGTCATGGTAATGTTGTGTAAAAGGAAATCACCAGCCTATGGCTTTACTGGTTTATTAATTCATGGAGCTGATCTAAGCAGAGGAATGGAAGTTAGAGGGGGGTTGGATTTGCAGTGGAGAGGTTAGGATTAAGATATGGGTCAAGGGTTTTTGGGGGAGTGGCATAGGAGGGTTCCCCACCTGGTTACACCTTGTTGCGATCTACTTGGGGGAAAACAGTGGTAAAACAAGGTACAGCAATTTTATGGATGCTTCACACATACAAACAAAATAAAAGCACATGTTTGCATCACATGACAACACCACAAGTTTTCCATTCGTGAAGACACACATGGAAATGTGGAAATGTGTTGGTTGGTATATGAAAGCCACGTCAGGATGGAACAGAACATGTGATAAGAGGCTGAGTCGATCAGAGCAGGCATTCTGTATGTTATCATTTGATCCTACAACTTCTCACTCCAAATCATAACTACAAACAAAAAGCAAAGGCTGTAATAACTCTGCTAAATACCAGTGTAAAGTATATTAGTAATAATGTAACAGCTTAATGAATGATCAGACAAAGAAACAGCAACAGAATCCCAGATGTAAGGTAAAGGTTTCCAGGTTAGCAGGTGCAGTTTTGCAGCAACAAGCATGACACATGCACCAATAGGTGTCGCTCTTTTCCTGAATGACATGGTGAAGTGGATGATGACTGATGATTCATCAGAGTTCACTTTGATGGAGGTGCTTTGGTCTGACGACAAGACAAATCTATAGACAAACAACCTAAATGGCATTTATGACAAGCGATGACTGATGAAGGGCATTTGTGAAGAACCTTTTCAAAATTTCCAATCATCTGTTGAGTTGTGTGTGTGTGTGATAGAGAATTGGCTAAAATCACAGTTTTCTTTATACTTATTACTGCTCAGGAGTATTTTAAATTTAATACAGTATTATCAGGAGGCGTAACCTGCTTTGTTGATACTTCTATATACTTTACGTAATTTGATACTAGTTCATAGATTATTCACAGCATTAGTTACATTTCCCTGACTGTTGTCTTAATTATGATTTTAGATAACAGAATGTGTATAAAAAAAAGCAAACATAGACAATTAGCATTGACTACTGTGTGGGTGTTTGACATCACATCTAAGGAGTATGCATTTGATTTAAACATTTGCTGTAAGGTTTATTTTGTTATTTCCTTCATGTAACGTTTATCACATTAATGTGACTCCAAATCCTTCACAAATGCTGTTTAGTACAGATTATGTCTTGATATAATGGATCTGAGTCTGATGAATACCGTTTAGTGCACATTAATGGACATGAGGTGGTGCTACAGTCATTAAAAATCGATGGTGAACGTCATACATTTCATAATGTCTATGATAATATGCTGCATGCTAAGACCATGGAGGAGATTGACGTCCCCAGAGATGAAGCCGTGCCCTCCGACAGCAGCAGCTGGCTGGTTACAGCACAGAGCTTCTGATCAATTACAGGAATAACAGATGGTTTGTCCAAGGCCTGTGTCAGGGTAAGTGCTGAGGAGAACTCTTCCCAGTGAAAGATAAAGAAATAACACAATGATGAAGACACAGATGACATGCTCCACTGTGACGAAGTATGGCATGGAGGACGGACCCTCAGCCAAGCACACAAAGGTCAAGTGCAGTGGTCACAAATGGACAGAATGTAATGGGCTTCAGACATGTCAGTGAAGGCTGCAGGTTACACTCATCCCTACAAGCAATCTGCTCTTATATCATATCTTAGATCAACGTAGATTCATTTTAACAGCTGTTTGTATCAGTTAAACTCGAAACTATCAGCCCTGAATACATTTAGGCCGCACTAAAAAAATACACAGCTAGAAAATTATCTCTGTCCGTGCATGGATATAGATATAGAAAGAAAACACTATTTTGGCTTAGATGTAACTAAAACTAACTTTAACTAATGTTAAAAAACATTGGTACAGCTGTTGTCCTCAACAATATTAATCAGACAACAGTTCCTCACAACGCAGTTGACAGTTTCGTCAGTCAGCTTGTCAGTCGGTAACTTACTTACTACCCTGCGCTAAGTGAGGCTGCTCTGACACAAGCCAGGCGTCTGACCGGAAGTTACACGCTGGGTGTTAGGATGACATTTTCTGTTTGAAGTGCTGTGTGAAGCAAAAAATCTTCCCCACCATGTTTGCAAATAATATAAATAAATATAATAAATAAATATAAATAATAAAAAGTGTGTATCAACTACGTACTAGAGCAACAGTAAGTGGACAGATGGTGGAATTACCCATGTCATGCTACTCATGACCTAACAAACTTAATCTGATTAACTTATGTGATGAATAGGTTAATTCTGACAGCCTTAATTCTTATAATCATATATGTGCAATAACAATCCAATTCCCTGTTACCCTCACAATAAGTAGTAAAACATGAGCTGGATATGTTTAGACATCAGACAGAATATAAGGAAATTGCTTGGTTGTGCAGCAGCAGACATGTATGTTTTTGACTCACACACACTGTTCATACACACAGATAATGTGCCATCGAGCAAAGATGAGAGAGACAGAGGAGGCATTACCCCATGAAGCTCCTTCACAACGATCCCAGGACAGAGACAAGAAGAGGGTCATGTCAATAAACACACTGCCACAACAGGACTGACAGATAAAACCACAGCACTTTTCAATGGCTTCTTTTATTGACATTTTTATATCAAAGTTCATACCCCTCCGCCTTTCCTGAAATAATTGAGTTGTATAACATATCTAATGACTTCCCATTGGAAAATAAAGAAGTTGTTGAACTTACGAAAATGCAAAAGCCACCAGCGCCCCACTGACCACTATGAAGTCCAGAATGTTCCACAGGTCTCTGAAGTAGGATCCAGGGTGAAGCAGCAGGCCCAGATCCACCATCTAGACCAAAAACAGTGTTAATTGTATCTACTTTTAAATAAAATACAATTTACAATGTGGTCAAAATGATTCATTTTATGTCTTAGGAGCTTCAACAAAGTACTTGTGTTGTTTAATGAAAGTCCAAAACTATTAAAGCAAATTTTATAGAGAAAAATGACTGATTGTCTGACGTCCTGACCTGAATTTAACCAAAGTAACAAACTAACTAATGCAGCAGAAGTTACGATCATATTCTTAACTAAAATCAAATTCAGACTTTATATTGTGGTTTATTTGTGAATAATAATTACAAAACAGTCCATCCTGCTGTCTGCATGTCCAGCAAGAAATCTGTTTTTTCTTCATCTGGTTTTATACTACTTCTAATATACACATTGACTATGCTAGACATACACAACGGTATCTTTTAAAGAACTGGTTCCTGTTGCATTGCACACGTAATGATATTTTAAGCATGTGAACAGTCTAAAAAACAGCTTACCAAATCACAAAGATTTCTTTTAAAACCACTTAGCTGTTTTTATGTAAAATGTAAAACCAACCATGAACAACTGCACCATGTAGTATTATCATTTACAGTATTTTCCAAGTATTCACCTTGATGACCATTTCAAAAGTGAAAACACCAGTGAAGGCATAATCCAGATATTTCAGTACCTGCAGACACAGAGACAACATTAGAGCAATATGAAGCAAATCATACAGTTGTGGTTCTTAGGAATTAAGAATGGGTGAAGAAAGTCAAATAAAATACACATGATTAGTATACTATACAAATGTACAGTTGTATGTGAATGTGTTTTTACGGGTATATCCATGTTCACTGTGTGTCTCACATTGTTGCGTGGGGCGTTGGTCCAAACTGGATCTTCTGCTGCTAAGGCGATGCTGCTCATAGCAATGACAACTAGAATGGACATCTCAAAGTAACGCAAAGTCACAATGTAGTGACACAGGCGCCTCACTCTGTGATGTGACAAACAGGAGATATGATGGGTAGTATGGATAGACTTGTTACAAAAAGCAAAACACGATTTCTTACAAAAATATTTCTTCATGAATCAGTAACAGTGTAACTGCATCACATGTGCAATGTAATTATTACAAATCTAGTTGTTTTTTTTATATATGTACATAAAAAGAAAAAAGAAAAAGTACTATCAAGGACCAGGACCAGCATTTCTGCTTAGTAGCTAAGTAAACTTACAATTTCACAAATAACTGACTAAATATGTGGAAAACATGTTGTTTAATTAGAAATGTAGGTGAAACACGATAAATAAATTGCAAGACTTAGAGTTCTATGACCCAAGACCAATATCTCTTTTTCAACCTAAATTTTAAAATCCCACTCCAGAACAATGCCATCTCTGGTTTAGGTGAGAGGGAAAAGGCAATTTTTAGAAATGCTGGCATCATGTTGAGACTGTGAACAAACAGTAACAGTTGTTGATTCATAGTAATAGAAAAATTAACCTTTGAAATAGAGGCAAAAAAATTGGGTGACATAGAGGTGAAAACAACTCACGGATTGGTCTGTCCAAAGATGAACATAGAACTATAAGGCAGGATGGGTCTAGGACCACACTGTTCAAGATCCTCCAGGTTCTTCTCAGTCATAGGCATCATCTCACAGTCAATACTGTTCACTGTGAAAACATATTCAAATATATATACATAAACTGTGTGAGTTTTTCTGCTCAATTTCACAATTCATAACGGTGAATTAATCATAACGTGAAATTGTTTGAATGTCTATCATTATAATTTAGGTTTCCGTCAAGAACAACTCCCGTAAATCAACTTTATCGGCAGTTTTATGACACTTATGACAGAAGGTTGTGTTTAGTCCTACAATGAGCAGTTAATATTTAATTAGCCATTAAATATCAATCATCAATCATCAGTCCTTTTTTTTACATCAAATGTAGTGCACTTGCCTCACAACAAAAAAATCATTAGGTATAATTGATGTGTCCTTTCTATATGGCATTTGTTTGTTTTCGCCCCAGGTGGGGAATTTCTAAATGGGCTTTTAGTATGAATGTAGGAGGAAAATTTTATTAAATTAACATTTTTTCTAAATTACTTCTGCAGTGAATACATGGAGTGAATATAAACATGAATAGGAATTATCAATAAATGGCTCAGAGAGAATATTTGATCTGAAAAAAAAAAAAGGAAAATGTGGGTATATAAACATACAAGCTTATCATTGAGATTTGGAGCAAGTAATAAAAAGTGCAGAAAATTTGATGTTTGCCTTTTATAATTTTGTAGACTGGTTAATATTTACACCAATGTTTAACTGCAGTAAAACCTGCATTGGTCATAGAGGTTAAACTTGAATGGTAACTTGACACAGACTTTGTATGAGGGTGGTCTCTCCAGGCGGGGAGGTGACAGTCACAGGAGGAATATTGATGGACGTTTGCCCAGTTCGTCTGACGTTATGCTGGTTGTCTGAATCTTCTGCTCGGTCCAATGGCCAACTGCCGACCGCTGAGCCCTGCTGGGGAGAGATGGCCAATGACTCCCCCTCTGAGTCACCAAATCGATCCCTAGGACAAAGAAAAGAGCAGGTGCATAAATTGGTCCTAGAATAGAACTTTTCTTGTACTCAGTGAATACATTCTAGTTTAAATGTGTTTAAAAAGTAGAGATATTTGATGAAACAAACTTTTTCTCGTGTTTTTTTTAAATGTTTTTACTTGTGACTGTGTGTCTTTTCTCTGTCATTGGACTCATCTCCCTCAGCAGTGGAATGTCCCCTAGATCCATGGGTCCGATGTCTCCTCTTTTCTCCATTGGCACCATTTTCTCCTCTAGAACTTCTTTCTCCATCTCGGTTGGATGAACACCCTTCTTTGTGCCTGGATCTTCTTTCCCCCCTCCCTCCATTGGTAACTGTCCCATTCCCTCCCCTGGACTGTCGGTGAGAGTGATGATGACGATGCTCCTTCTCGCCTGTGACTCCCCCTCCTTTGCCTTCATCCACCGAGCTCTGAGGATGATGTTTCCTGCCTCCTTCTCTGCTGTGGGATCTGTCACTTCTCCCCTCTTTGCTACGGCTGCCGTCATGGTCTTTGGATCGACTGTGATGCACGTGGTGGTGATGCCCAGATTCACCATTGTCGTTCGATTCCTCCCTGGTCCTGGTCCGATCCCTGTCTCTGTTTCTGTGGTGGCGCCGAGGCTGGTGAGTAGTGGCAGCAGGGTCGGCTGCGGTTTCTGCCTCTTCTGGCACGCAGGATTTATGGTGGTGGTGCTGGTGGACACCCAGCACAGGCCCGTCGTGCGGTTCGACCAGCAGGGGCCGGTCATGATGGGTCTTCATGTCAGGTCGGATTTGAAGGGCGGAAGACAGTCTGAGACGGTCCTCAGGCTCCAGCTCACTGTACAGAGCCTCACAGCTGGTCCAGTTTTGCCTCCTCAGTTGGTTTGCTCTCTGCTCCCACACCGACATCGTCTTCATCGACTTCTGCTGCTCTTTACTATCCGGAGTTGGAAGAAACAATGAATTAGCATCACTTAAAAATGATATATCAAGATAGAAGAGAAAATATGTATATCCTAAAGACAGTCTGATGTCACAGATATATTAACAAGGCACTGCTCATATATACACAGCTATGACACATTCACACATATGTAGTTTATACACTGACCTGGCCGTATGTTTCATTTTACTCCTCCTGTGGCACACACAGTTTTCATCTACATGCTTCAATGATTTGGCGTCTGACCAAAGTGCAATAGAGCTTTTAAAAATGTGAACTGCTTTAGGTTATTTATTACAGTCTACTGTGCAGCGTGCTCACCCATGGACCAATGTCTGAACGAGAGCCAAGCATGGTTACAGAGCCATGCTGTGACATGGTTTTAATTCTCTCTGAGTCTGATTACACATGAGAAACATGGATGTTCAAGTACTGTGGAAATTTGTCTAGATATATTGGTCTTTAAATGGGAAGGAAATCAAAACAATAAACAAATCCCAAACTCTGTGTTTGGGGTGATTCACAGTACTTCAGCATCAGCTGTGGCTCAGTGGCTAAATTCATGCACTGACCTGTAAAATAAAACTGGAACTCTTCCATTGGATTGTTTATGTATTTGTGCTTTCATTTAATAGTTGTATCCTCAGTCGAAACATTTCGGGTTATGACATTATTGTATTGGTACAATCGTCACACTCACCTTTTACACAGTACAGAAAGACAGATACAATATATGACCTTTATTATATGTAGAAGTCTGAAATCTGTTGACTGTGCTGATTATGTAATTATGACAATTTATACTTTCATTTGCCTGCAGAGGTCTGCATCACAGAAATCTACTATAATGATGCTATGCAAACCCTTAACTAGCTTTTGTTGGTTTAAAAGAAATTCAAAATAACTGCAGTACCTGGCTTCCACCATAATGGAGAAAGTTCTGTAGATATCTACACCTGTGGAACTCTTAACAGAATGACCAATGATGGCAAGAAAAACACAAGAGCTGATATTGAGGTTTTTAAGAGAATTGCAGATAAAAAAAAACTCTGCAGCCAAAGATTCTGAAAGTATGAAAATACCATAAGGATCTCAAATTTTGAGTCCATGACCAAAATGCAGCTCAGCTCTATTTACATAATCATAACTTTAATGAAACATGGTTATGTGTGTCTTTTATAATACATGAGCATCATCATCATCCACCACCTTATCCTGGAGGCGGTTGAGTTTACCTCAAATAGTGATGGACTGGGGTGCAGACATAACTCCTACAAACACATAAAGGAAGCAACATTGGAACAAACACAAGGAGAGAAGGAAGTGTCAAACAGGTTACAGACAAAAACACAAAAGGAGCAAATAAGCTTCAGAAAAACTCATGATGTGAGGAACATGTACAGCCAAAGAGCAAAATTATACAAAAACAAAAACAGAACTGGATTTTGCTGTGTGGGAGAAGGACATTTACAAAGAGAGACGGCGAAACAAAAAACACAATGTTTACTTCAGTTGGACGGTGGAGTTGTGTTTTACTAACAACTCCCTGCTCAGACCTGGTACTGTACTGATATCATGTCCTGTGAACTGCAATAAGGAATGTTTAACAACGGTCTGTGTGTTCACTAAAGTAATATTCACCGTGACAGTAGGGCAGGTGGGAAGTCTTAAGAGATATAAATGGGCCTTGCCATTTAAAGGAAAGGAAAATGAACTACCTGTCACTGTGTCACAGCTCACCACTGCACACAACCAAATGTGGTCTCTGCTTTTAACCCATCACCAAAGTGAACAGTGGACAGCTTTAAGCACCCGGGGAGCAGTGAGTGAGGACGGTGCCATGCTCAGAGCACCTCAGTAGTGCTTAATCAACACAGATTAAAGGGTGACTTTGCGTCAGTTCCTTTTTAAATGCACATTGTTTAAATATATATTTTATATAACCAGCAGAACAAGTGCACAACAATCAAAGACTTTATTCACATTCTGGCTTAGATCAGTTTCCAAACCTTTTTGGCCACACCCACTTCTATAACCCAACCAGGCTGACGCACCCCTGTTTAATCATGCTTCATCATAAGATGAGGTGCAGTTCAAAAAGACTTCATTTAATTATTTATGAAAACGTCAGCTTTTGATTTACAATTTCAAAAAGGAATTTTTCAATTTTTAAAACCCACTTAAAAAAACAATCCAGATCTCCCTCACATTTTTTATTTTTTACAGATGCAAATGATGGTTTATAATCAGCACAACACAAGCCTAAAGATAACAAAGGCTGTACATATTTAGAAGCACCTTGGGGTGCTTCTAAATTAATTACAGTACATGCCATGTGAACAATAATATGATGTTGACACCAACGGGAGGAGAAGCCTTGTTGCTAAAAAAAACTGACAGTGAAAGGAACTCTAATCTCATGATATCTGACTGGTAGATATATTGTGGAGCACATATGAATTTGTCACTAAGACAAAGGGAAAGCTTAGAAATGGAAATATAATTTGTGACAAGGTGAAGACACTGAGGAGTGTTTTCCACAGTGAATGACTGGCACGACAACACCAGCAGAGGATACAGCAGCAGCAGCAGCAGAAGCAGCAGCAGCAGCAGGGGGACAGAACAACTGAGAGGAGGGTTAATGGGACGATTTAAAAGTTGTATCAGAGAGGTCATAACTCACAGTGAGCTAACGCTGCAGATGGATGAGCTGCTAGAATGCGCGTTACCTCGACTGCGTGTTAGAAAACTGCACATGCACAACACAAAAACAAAATTGGGAGGTGGGACGTTATATAAGGATGAGGTCAAGTAAACAGAAAATAGAAAACACCAGTTAACATTTCTCTTCTTTGTTTTCCTTTGGCCTCCCATCACATTCACGTTATGGGCAGCCAAAGGCTAAAAACACACACCTGAGACTGTCACTGATACTAGAGGAAATGTGAGAGAAATGGGCCGTCAGAGACGCTGTTTTGGCCACAGATAAAGCTGACCTGGCTACAGTCTATTTTCAAGCTGAGATTGAAAAAAAGAAACATTATTAAAGCAACAGCAGCTACACTTTAGGGATATATACTGGAATGTTTATGCAGGACAATTTAGAAGATCTGCTCATGCAAATGGAAGATCAAATTTAAAGGAAGACTTGTCTGAAAACAGGATTAGCATCACAGGTGCAGCTTAACTAAACCTAGATGGAGTGGGTCCAGAAGGTAGCAGGGAGATAGGAAAAAAAATCTGTAAAAGATCAACAGCTTACGCTGGCTGCCTATAAAAACAAAATAGTATGGTTGTGTCTTATAGGGCACAGTTCATTTATGAAGCACTAGTAACTATATTTTGAGGATTTAAAAAAAATTATAATCTTTGACAATAACAACAAACTATTATACTGTTATGAGTTTAAGTCAACAGAATAACGTTAATGTGACTTCACAATGTTTCTATACCCTGTCAAAAACCTTAAATTCTTAAATGACAGACAATTATTTTTCTTTGCAGTGAGCTTTTTGACTATGAGCAAACAGGCTTAATAACAGGGATCAGTGAATTGTTTTAATCTATATTATTGCTCATGCTTAACTCTAGGAAATTCCCTGGTGTTGTATAAACTTGTACGTTTTTGGTACTGATTATACATAAGAAAGGTATTGGATCTATTTTTGTGTTCAGAGCCAGAACAAAAAAAAACTGGAGAAGGTTTACTTACGCTGTGATGGAAATGTTAGCAGCTGACATGGGGCTGACCTCCTTCACCTCCTTGGCCTTCTGAAGGGCAAGTTTCTTACTGATAGCCTCCTCTTGTTCCTCTTCATCCTGACGGTACCAGAAAAAACGTAGATACTGTGTATGACTATCTGATACTGTTAGATATTACTTTGACCTGACGTCTGTTTCCTTAAACTTTATATACTGCTCTGGAAGCACTGTTTGAAAAAACAATCTTAAAGCAGGTAAGACAAATATATATTATGCAAGACATTTGCTCAACAAGACAAAAACCCCAATCGGAACTATATGTGAAAAATAAAAATAAAAACGTTAAAAGGTGTCCTGCCTTACAGCAAAACTGTGAGCTGAGTAAAACACAACAGTGATATCTGGATAATGTTGCTTTACACCTGCAGTGATATTTTAACCTTACCAAGGTGTTCAAAGATTTGTGTAGTCTCTGTGTTTTTAATAACTGCGAGGGATCAATCTAATTCTGTTTACTCCAACCTTAATACAAGCAAATGAGGTGAGTTTCAATGACAATAAATGGTGGCTGCTGTGGCTCAAGTGCTAGTGAAAAGTATTGAGGACCTTGGTTGAAAGCAGAATACATCACAGAATAAAAAATACACTACCTTAGTGAGCTCCTGAGCATTTGCGAGGTTATCAACAGCAATGGCCAAAAACACATTGAGAAGAGTGTCTAATTGTTTGTGGTTTAAGAACAAGTTCAGACTGACAATCACGAAATCAATAGTTACATTTAAATCTCTGCCTGAAAACAATTAGTACTGTACATTTCTGCCCTGTTTGTGGGCCACCACAGAGGGTTGAATTTCTGTTAAACAGCAGGATACAGTTTCCAAAGAGAGTGAGAACAATGAAGTAAATGGAAGAGAACATTCCGCCATGAACACCCCCTTGTGATTCAATCCCATGGTACATGACAGCGTTCCAGTCTTCCCCAGTGAGGATCTGCAAAAACAGAAACTGGGTTTAAAATACAGCATAGCAAAGCAGTGGCAAAAAAACAACAACAGCACAAAATAGACTTTCACCTGGAAGACGGTGAGAATGGCTGCCGGGAAAGTGTCAAAATTAGTTGTTGGGGTCTCGTCTTCAAAATTGAACCTGCAGGGCCACAATATAGAGTCTTTAGAAGAAACCCACATTCACTCCCCCGCCCACTGAAGAATGACGCAGCCCATGCTCCTCACCATTAGTCTGTGGACTGCACAACAAACTGCATTGCATCACATTTGTGTCATCAGACTTCATATTCAGTGTGACCTTATGGCTGAACTCTCTCAGTTTCACAGCCTTTAGTGGATTGGTTGTGCTAATGCTAACGTTGGCATTTTATACTCAGCCTGTCTATTGGGACCTAATTACAGCAACCCTGAATTTGAGGGATGCAAATACAAAAGGTCTGGAATGGGGCCTTGTTGCTGCCTTGGTCTCATTAAAGGGGGACTGAAATGTGGAGGATGGAAATCAGGTTTGTTTCAGAAGCTTCTAAAATACAGTTACATTTTTATTAAGTTCTGGAAGAAGCTCAGGTGTTTTACTCTTATAACAATTTGACTTTTAAATATCTACCTCTACTTTTTAACACTACTGTGAATTATGTATTTTTGCTTATGCTTCAGGGAACAACATTTTTCATCATTGATGACGGGAATAGAGAGTACTAAATAGTATGCAACAGTACAAGATTAATTTAATGCTGACTGATGTCATACATAGTTCCATCGATGATACTATGGTCTTAAAGGCTTCGCTTAGGTCACCTGTTATAAAACCCAATGTCCTAGGTTTAAGTTTCATAACTTACAATGATCTTTACAGAAACCAAAAATGTGAGTAAAAACCAGATGTGATTGATCATCCAGTGTTTATGGTTTATGAGATGTCAGTGACAGCTTTTGTTAGTTGAATAAGACATTTTTGTCATTATGGATGTACAGTTACATGTGTACTTAGCAATATGATGTATCACTCACTGTCCACCAAACAGCTGCATGCCCAACAGGGCGAAGACCACAATGAAGAGGAAGAGGAGGAACAACAGGCTGATGATAGACTTCATGGAGCTCAGCCGGGACACTACCAAGCTCCTTAAAGAGTTCCAGTATCTACACACATATACAGGAATCAACGGCAAGACTATGTAAGAGACATCACAGGGTCATCATGACACTGGCAGAATTTAGTGACGACTCACTTGGTGACTTTGAAGATCCTGAGCAGTCTCAGAGCTCTGAGGACACTAATCCCAAATGAAGCCCCTGGTTTGATTGCAGCCCAGATCACTTCAAAAATACTGCCAATTATCACCTGAAAACACAGCCTCATTACTGCAATCCGCAGTGGGGAACTGCAATAGAAAACCTTTAACCCTTACACCACTCAATAAAAAAACTGTAACTCTGAGCTCCCAGGTGAATAGGAACTACTTACCCCGAAGTCGAAACAGTTGAATGAGGAGTGGAAGTAATTCTGGGGTCCAAGCCCATACATTTTCATAGACATCTCCACTAAAAAAAGGCCCAGGAATACAAACTCAGCCAGGTCTGTCCATAGGGAAAAAGAAAATATACAGATCAATGACCTGGATTTTCCCACAGTTCAATAGAGCCAGTTTATCTGCCCACAGCAAATAAGACTCAGAGAACGTCTGTTGTTTTAGGAAATAATTCTCCAATGATGAAGTGAGCAGGAGCTTTGTTTGCTCATGCAGTAAGAAAGTTTCTCAGTTTTGAACTGAGGTCAAACTATATGCATCATATTGAAATGTCAGTAATATAGTGATTGTGCTCACACAGGGCGTAGGTGAGCCACTCAGGCTGGTCATAGTGCACTATGGCCACACACAGTGTGTTGAGGCCAACCAGACACAACACAGTCCAGTAGAAGCTCTGGGACTTGACCAGACGACGGATGGTGAAGCGTATCCTCTTCTCTTTCCTCCTGAAGTAGGACGAATTGTCGTTCTTGCTCTTCACGCTGGCCCGAGCAAATGGCGACCCTGGGGGGGCAGTTGGAACAAAACATAGAAAAGGACGATAAAGTTACTGAGTCCTGGACCTAGAACATCTAACTTAAAAATGCAGCTTAATTTTATTTTACTACTGTCCTGGTTACAGAGACTGCTCACCCTTATTGGTCGAGACTAATTTATGTTTGAAAACCAAGCTACTTTTATACAAACCTCAGTTATATTCAGTTCCCATGCACA